ACTCGCAAAGCATTTATACGGCGAAGTAAGCAGTACCCGGAATATACTCATAAATACACGTGACGTACGTCTTGCACGCTTAATGTAGGTGATGATTGTACAGTGATGAAACGTCCGTCTTCAGTTTTTTCCTTGTTTATTCTTAATTAACCAGGCGCCTACACAGCTGGTTTCCGTAGGAAGTGTTCCGAGGGAATTCTTAGCCAGACGCTTAGTTAACACATACCACCCGAGGTAAAGCGTTGTCGCCCAAACGAGCTGAAAGTCAGCTATCACAAGGATTAACTGTATTGCCATAGAAAAGGATAATACTGTGTAGTACGCGCGCTCGTAGCCGATCCTCTCTGCCAGTCTTAACAACCTGTGGTCGAGTTGTAATGAATTGTGTAAACACGCTGTACCTGCAGTTTTAATGAGAAGCGATATCTCGAGATATTGTGGTCATATTTAAAAACTAAACACACGGTTGTGATCGTTAAAGCGTAAGGAGTATGAATCTTGAAAAAAAATTGAAAAAGAACATACGCATAAGCAAATAATTCATTATCCAAGCTAACGGGGGGCATAAATCGCGGATGGAAATGCATTCTCAATGGGGCATGCCGACCTTCTCTCCGGCTCCCTTGGCTCGGTTCCGGACCAGTAGCACTGCAGGTGTGCCTTTGTTTGCATAGACCGGCCGGACCAGCGGAATGCTCAGTGTATTTGTGTTAGCAGTTAGCTCAACATAATAATTATGCAACTAAAAATGCCACTTTGTGATCAAATATGGATGGATGCGTGTTTGGTTAATGATTGCAAATCTTTTTAAATGGGCTCAATGCACATCTCGGAGATATAGTCTGCATTGATTCCTTTAGCATTACGCTTGGACTGTAGAGTTCAAAATAATTGTTGTTTTTCGTTGAGAACTGCATATGTCATTGTTTGTAATTTCCAACACGTAATATTAAGCACCATATACTTATACTTGCACGAAAATACACAAATGTGTCTGTACAATTAAGTGCTTTAGTAGTAAGTACATCAATAATTTTGTAAGTACTGTACTTTATGGTATCATTTTTGGAAATAGTAACGGCTACTGTAATGAAAGTACAGTAAGTGCATCTACGGCTCGGAATCAGTTCAGCTCTGAACTGCAAATTGCCTGAGCCGTTGCTTCGCCGTCCGATCAGCAAATTTGTGGGTACAGTTTGTTTGCACAATTCATTACAACTCGACCACAGGTTGTTAAGACTGGCAGAGAGGATCGGCTACGAGCGCGCGTACTACACAGTATTATCCTTTTCTATGGTATTGCTTTCCACGCGCTCCGCAGTCCGCCATCTCTGTATGACTTGTATCGTTCAAGCCACAGCCTTTGGTGTGATGCCCACAGCAAACGCCTGTGTATAATGTGTATCTACTGTAATTTATCACACACGATATGCCGATGAATATGCATGTGGTTCGCTCATGCACAGCACACGTGCTTAACCGCGATCAATACAAGCAAAATACATTCGCAAGCAACATACATTCGCTTCACATTCACAACCAACATGCACGTGTTACGAACTGACTGACGGTGGTCACGCTGTAAGAAAACCTAAGAAACATCCGAAAACAGTGCAGTGCCGGGACGCATGACACCGGCCGGCGGCACGCGTGCAGAGGGAAAGAGGCGTCCGACGCCGGATGCGGTTAGGGGGGATGGCGTTCGGCCGGCCGCCCACGCCCCCGCCCCCGCCCCCGCTCCCGCACCTGGCGGGCCGCGGCCGCGGGCGGCATGAGGCGCAGACTGCCGGCCGGGGGCTCCACGGCGCAGCGGATCCGGGTCGGCGGCGCTCCGGCCCATGCGCTGTCCGACATCGTCGACGCCGCTCGCTTCCGCTGGGCGCCGCCGGCGCGCGGCTCCGTGGGGAAGGGCAGCGGCGGGCGCAGCGCGGCGTGCCTGTACGTGTACAGGTCCACGATTTCACTGGGCAGCAGCAAACCGCTCTGCAGACACCACAACTAATTCAATATTCAATCAGAAAAAGAGGAATTTTCAAATTTCAAATATTAATATTTTTTATTTGTTTAATTTATTTTAAAAAGAGGAATTTTCAGTTTCGCTGCAGTCTTCCAAGACCGGGCGGATTTGCAAACGATTGGCAACGGAAAGACATTTGTGCATCCAAAACTAAGTTGCAAGAATGAATGACCGGCTTTTGATGATGATCAATGGAAAATTAATGATGTTCATTAAATGGTGGCTTTTATTCGGTAGCTGTAGCGCACAGCGACGCCAGGCACTGCAATCTTCTAAATAAACAAGTTATTCCCGTTAACAGGACACGGAACGGTGCCAGAGTAGTGCCGTTTCCCACCCTCTGTTTAACTGAATATATCGCAATTGTTTAAATTTACTTTCCAAAACATAGTGTATTTCTGGTCTGAACTTGGCAGTTACCTTGACAGGTCCGTCCGTCAGCTGCGCATCGGTCATGAGGGGGAAGCGGATGAGGAAGAGCGCCTCGTCCAGCTGCGCGCGACAACTATCCGGCGACGCATCCACATCATCGCGCAGGCACGCCGCTTTCGCCCATCTGGTACCACGACAATTATTATTCCACCGCCATCAACTTCATTATGTGAAGCGAATGAAATCAGGAAGAGCGTACTCACTTCTCGGCGGCCAAGTAGACGGCGTTCTCCTCCACGCGCAAACTGCCGCGCTGCAGAATGCGTAGCAGTGTGTCCCGGCTGACGGCGCAGAAACGCTCCGCAGCCAGGATGACGTCCGTGAAGCAGTCCACCCAGTTCAGACACTTTTGCACCACCCGCGCACAACTCTCCATCCCACAACGCTGCGCCTACAATGCACAATCATACACAATTAGAGTTCGTAAATCGTCAAGATTTCAGCAGCGAAACGGAAATTTTCAGCCTTTTGGAAAACTTGACGAAACTTAACTGTTTGTAAATTTCGAAAAATAATAACGAAACTTAGCGATTTTACCAAACCATTTAACGAAACTTGGCGATAACGGAAAATATTTTGCTGGCTAAAAAACGGAACTGAGCGAAAAACTTTCAAAAGAAAAAATACTTACCAAAACTGAGTCTGAATTTTGCTCATGTTCAGTTCATACCAAGCAAAATCTGTTGAAGGCAATAATTTTGGAAAAATTAAAGAAAATAATCAAATTTCGCGCGAAGCGCGAAGCTGACAGACAGATTTGTTTAAAATCTTCCAGAAATTTACAAAAAATCCGAAAAAATTAGCGAAGTTTTAGCGAACGAAAGTACCAGTAATAACTAGACTAAGCGAAAAGATAAGCTGCAATAACGAAGCTTAACGAAGCGGTGTCTTTTGGCCCTGAAAACCTGCGCGAAGCTTGACGAACCGTTCGTTAACTATCGTTACGCTTCGTCATTTTGACGACTTACGAACTCTAATACACATATAAAAGATCCTACTGATAATCGGGTGCCTATGAAATACCGCATTAAATTGTGGATTATATACATAATACATTCAATTTAAAAAATGTCAGTGTACAGTAAATATAAATTCCTTTGCTTATGCAGTTCGCATTTAATCGGTAATTCTTAATAAAAAAAACAACATATTACATATATAATAAAAGTCGATAATAAACGATAAATTGTTATGTCTGCAATAAAACAAAAATGATACTGTTGATAATAACGGTAGATAAGGAATACTTAAAATAAGGTTTTTTACACTGTGTAAATACAGTTATTTTAGTACTTTACTAACATTTTCCAAATAATCCAGGCAGGTGTCATGGTCCAGGCGACGGAAAACGACATGGAGCGCTAATTTCGTCAACTCTTTCAGATTGTACTTGTCGGCGCAGTACAGCACCTCGAACACGCTGTCCACGCCCGACAGCGAACACGGCTCGGGCAGGCCCTCCACGGCGTCCACCGTGCCCGTGTACACGAAACTACAACCAAGAACCACAGTTCCTCCCCAGTCCACAATCCACATTACAGAACAGAGAATACGGCGCATGCGGTTGTCCACCTGTACCTCAGCATGGCAGCAAACGCTGCCGGCCGAATCTCCGGGATGTCGATGGGTTGCGCCGTGTTTTCTCGCAGGTCTCCGTTGAACATACGGTCGAACACGTCGCTGCGCACACTTAACAGGAACCTGCGCACACAGGATCAATGAAAACCAGAACGTTGCACTGCGGAGTGAGGAAGCAGCATGCTTACTTGTGCGCGGCAAAGATCTTCGCCTCGCCACTTTCACGTCCGACAGCGAACCGCACGTCGCTCTTCTCTCCGCTGACCAACAGCTGCTTCCACACATCGTGGAATCCCGCGACGGGACGCGCAACAGAGGATGCGAAATGCTCAGTCATAATGCTGTACGGGCAAAGGAGCAAAGGTGGCAATGCAGATCTTGTACAATGTCAAGGAAAGTCAAAAACTGGAATGTGCAAACTGCAAAGAACGAGATGAGAGTCTGAACGGTCTGATGAATCATGACTCTGTCACTCTGATCACTATTAGAACGTCGAACGAAGCATGCAAAATGCAGGCGCCAGGCGCGAGTACGAGTACGGAACGAAAAGCAACGTAACTGCCACCACCTGGTGGACGGCCCACTTCTGATTCGACTACGGTTTACAAGCACAAGGACCCGTCCCGGTTGTGCTCGGACTTCCAGCCGGTGGTGAGGCTTAAAACGAAGCTTTCTAATGATTCTGTTATCACCGATACATAAGACAAGTCACAGTAAGCATGGAACAGCGCTGCATGTCGTCGGTATGCGCGCAGAGTAAACTTGATATGCCTCGCCCACCTACAAGAATGAAGAATGTACTGCAAATACTGTGCCACTTGCAGCACTTACTTGATGGCCGCTAATGTACTACGAAAACGCGTTACTTTCACAGATTTCACATCAAAACTGTTGGGAATCATGGTTGGGAAAACTAACACAGTCGCCACAACAGAAGCTAACCTTTTTGCTAACCTATGCCAACAGTTTTCGCAAGCATGCACAAGCAGCAGACTGCCGGACCCGGTTCCCCACCAACGTACCCGCGACAATATGAATCATTATATGATATAATCATATTAATTTTAATGTCAAGCCTTTCCAGTGCTGCGTCCCGCGGCACTGCCGGCCCACCCGCGAGTGCGTGCTGTGATCCACGGGAAAGAGTCCGGACCCGCCACCGTCTGGGTCAACCAGTCAACAGGACGGTCACCACCATCCACAAAGCGTCCGGCTACCACCGCCGCAGCATATTGCAATGACAACTTCTAAGCTGTCCCTAGTGGAGTGGGTTACAACCCGTACCACGATCGGAAGTGCTGGTGGTGTTAACGAATTACTTTAAGATCGCTTATGTAATTAGCTCTTAACGAAAGCCGGCAACGGAACACACTGACAACGCGTACGCACACATTTTAATCAGCTGAAAACCATTAGGGAAGAGCAAGGGCAAGGGCAAGAGCAAGAATGATCTTAGATCAGTTAGACATTTCCCAATTGCTTCGATGTAAGTCAATTTTTGCTCAAAGTCTGTCGCGGGGCGGTGACGAAAACCGTTACACAGATGGGCGTACCTTGTAACGGGTCTAAGCGACGCCCTGTTACTTACAAACTTCCCTTTTCTATGGTTTTGATTGGTGGGTCAGCATTCTGAGTTAGATCGAGGCTGCCCACCGCCAGTGGCAAAATTTGCCCACCACCAATGGAAACCACGTGGTACAGATTCAGTACTTTGAGTGATCTATCAAGAAAAAATCACAACCTGCTTGCTGTGTCCTTATTTTAATACGAGTATCTCTTTTTAATTATTTATTAAAAAGAATTATTAATTATACGAGTATCTCTTTTTAATTATTTTTTTCAAATATTTGTCCATATAAATGAAGTTTTCACATGAAAGGCTTTTTCATTTTACAATTTCCTGACGGAGATCGTGCAGGGTAGCCTGCTTACTGGGTTCCCAGTTGTTTGCGTCTGAGCTTTTATCAGTGCTACGAGCAAACGTTGTTTATCCTTTACCCACTCAGATATTTTGTGGATAAGTATTTCAGCAAGTTATGCGGATAAGCTAAGAAGTAGCTGGAAAAATTTCAAACCTTTTCCGCTTTCTTGGAAAATCTGCAAAACAATGTTGTTGACGTTTCTTCAATTATGTTGTGGGGAACCCTGCGTGCTGGCTAGCCAGCTGGCTCTTGTTAATGCAGCAGTACTTACTGGGCAGAGTGTTTGATTCTTGCCAGCCTTTATTTACTGGACACCCATCCATGGTAAGCAAGACCATCAAACGAAAACTTTCATTATTTTACGACTGTTATAGTATGTGAAATACTTTCAACCAAAACTTTCAGATTACGCAACAAAGCGAGCATGTTTGTGATTATTCTTTTTCATCTGGTTGCGGGTTCCCGCTTATCTGGCTACCCAGAGGAAGATATTTTGACAAATAACTGTCATTTTGCTGTTGTGCGGTGTATAAGGCCAGCTTGGTGAAATTTTTAAGTTGCGAGTCAGGCATTTATTTTATATTTCTGACGCCAGAAAAAAGTAATTCTCAATAAAGCCGTAATTTCAATAAATATCGGCAATAAGCAGCACGTATAAATCGTACCTGTCAGCGTCGCCTGTTGAGGTATGTGCGTCCTGTCTGTTTTGCGCACACCGTCCCCGTTAACACGGACAGACATACATGTACACGCAAGCCGTGAAAACGGGCGCGGTTTTGCATACTTTGTATGTAAATGCACGCTGAAATCTTTGTAAGTAAGTCCCTGATGCGCCTATGCGCAATGACTATAATGTCTCGTGAATTGTCCAGCTTTACCGGTCGTAACAACCGCTGCAGCGAAAGTAAGCGTCACGGTTACCGTCACGGTACCTGCGAAAACTCGAACTGGATACCTATGTTTTTGTTGCACACTGTTCGTTAATTGCACCATTCAAATTTTTTAAAACTGACCGTTTTCCCTTGTTTTCTCTCCTACACATGATCGTTTAGTTACTTCCAACTACGAAGAAACCCAGGACCACTATACACATACGGTTCTTATAGCGCTATAGCGTTTATATATAGCGTTCTTGACAAAAAACCTTGTGACTGCTAAACAGCTCAGTATCTTCCATGTTCACGTGATACTGCAAAAGGAAATTGCGTGCAGATTGCCAGGACTTTTTCTCCGTGTACTGGCGATTTACGTGCACTGGATGCACTTCTATGACCCTGTCGCGTGCTGTTTGTTGGTTTTATACTTCGCTTTTGTAATTACGCTGACCGCACACCGAATTAGTTCGTCCACGCCGGTGGCCAGTTTAATCACGTATACAATACACGATGTGCTAAAAAAGTAAACTAAAGCCACTTAGAAAACCATCCCTTCTCATCGGATAGAACGCCGACGCGGCGGCGAACCGCGCGGCCCTCGTATACTCCCGCGGCCGCGGCTCCCGTGTCCCCCGCGCGCCACGGGCGGCCGGATGGCGCCGCGCCCCGCCGGCATACGGGCACGCGGCGGAGTGGTCGGTTCCTCCGGGAAGCGCGTCTTGGGCGCTTTGGCCGGGACACTGTCGGGCGAATCCCGTGGCGCTCGCTTCCGGCGCTGATCCGCGCCACCACGCGGCTCCGTGGCAAAGGGCAGAGGCGGCTTGACGGCGGCGTGCTTGTACAGGAAGAGCGCCGTCACTTCACTGTGCAGCAGCAAACCACTCTGCAAAACACGTATCTGCACACTCCGGTGACATATCACCGACCGTTAAATCTAGATTTATTTCCAGGGAATGTTATTCCCCAGCGCCACAGCACGGACACAACAGCCTACCTGGATGGGTCCGTCGGCCAGCTGCGCGTCGGTCAGGAGCGGGAAGCGGATGTGGAAGAGAGCCGGGCCCAGAATCGCGCACCGATTGTCCGGCGACGCGTCCAGGGCGTTGCGCAGGCACGCCGCGGTCGCCCATCTGTAGCCAGACAACATCAGCCATGCGTCAGGAAGAACTAATTCGCATTACGCGCTAAATACAATTTCCAGAGCTACAGTGTCGGAGAATTCGTTGTACTGTAAAGTCCTTTAATGAGTAACGACCAGACCTGGGCAGTTAATTTTAACTATTTAACTTAACGCGAGATATTTTCGAGTTATAACTTAACTCATTAGCGCAACTCGCTCAGAAGAAAACTTAACTCTAACTTAACTCTGAGAAAAAGACTATATATTGTCTAAGGTAGCGTAACTCGAGGTGTAACTCGAAACTCGGTTTTCCTGCATAAATAACTTAACTCTTAGCGCAACTCGCACGCACACTGTAACTCTTAACTCTAACTGCGGGTCAATTTTCTATAACTGCCCAGGTCTGGTAACGACATCAGATACAAACAAGGTACCAAAAACAGATTAACTATTACAAAAGAAACACTTCCTCTATGCTATCCTGATCGGGGATCGTACCCGGTACACAAATCGCGTTTCCCCGTTGTATTTGCATAGAACGTTGTACTTGCTCTACAGACTACAATCACTGGCTACAGAAATGAAATTACTGCTGTATAAGTTTCAAATAACAAATAAACAACAAATAATGTACAGCAATAACTGAAAACCAGTATAAAAAAAAACTTGTAATAGGTATCAGATTGCAGTTATTATTATCACACTAAACACACGCATTATTATCACACTAAACACACGCATTAAGCAACAAAAACAATGCTGTACTATACGCAAGGAGCGCTGCTGACTGCTTACCTTTCCACGGCCGCGTACAGAGCGCTTTCCTCAACGTCCAGGCCGTGGCGCTGCAGGATGAGCAGCAGGGTCGCTCGATCCAGGGAGCAGAAGCGCTCCGAAGCCAGGACAACGTCACTGAACGTGTTCAACCAGAGGAAACAGTAATCCACGATCGCCGCACAACTCCCCATCGGCCAACGCTGCGCCTATACCGCGGCGAAACACAGCACTGGTTGCACTGACAATTGTGGGCCGCGTTTACATAATTTGAAATCAAAAATAATTTGCACAAATTATTTTCAGAATATTTAAAATAAAAAAAATTTTAAAAAAAATTAAAATCATAATTTTTAAAATTCAAAATAATATCTACTTACAGAATATGTGTTCTGCTAATAGATAGCAACATCGCCTTTTTGCAGCATTTGCTTCACTGCCTTTTTATTAACCGATCTTTCTTCAATTTATTTATCAATCGTTATTAATACGAGTGCAGAAAATTAAAACCGATCTGCAGACGAAAGAGGAACTCACATTTTCCAGATAGTCGAGACAGTTGCGGTAGTCCATCCGCCTCGTGACGGTATTGTGCGCCAGCTCCGTCAACTGCGGCAGATTGTACATACTTGTCGACGCAGTACAGCACCTCGAACACACTGTCCACGCCCGACAGCGAACAGGGCTCGGGCAGGCCCTCCACGGCTTCCACCGTGCCCGTGTACACAAAACTACAACCAAGAACGAAGAACCAGATCCTCCGCATCACAGAACGGAGAATGCGGCGCATGCGGTAGTCCGCCTGTACCTCAACATGGCAGCAAACGCTGCAGGCCGAATCTCCGGGATGTCGATGGGTTGCGCCGTGTTTTTGCGCAGCTCCCCGTTGAACATACGGTCAAAGACGTCGCTGCGGACACTGAGCAGAAATCTGCGCATAAAGAATCAGTGTATAAACCAGAACGTTCAACTGCAGAGTGAATGAGCAGCATGCTTACTTGTGCGCGGAGAAGATGTGCACTTCGCCACGCTCACGTCCGACGGCGAACCGCACGTCGCTCTTCTCTCCGCTGACCAACAGCTGCTTCCACACATCGTGGAATCCCGCGACGGGATGCGCAACAGAGGATGCGGAATGCTCAGTCATAATGCTGTACGGGCAAAGGAGCAAACACTGGAAAAATGCCAAGGAAAGTCGCAACGATAAAGAGCCAGATGAGAGTCTGCTCAGTCTGGCAGTCTGCACGGTCTGATGGCTCTGTCACTCTGATGAGTCTGATGATGGCTTTGTCACTCTGATGAGTCTGATCACTGATAAGAAGGATGGATGAGTCACCAAAAATCCAGGCAAACGAGCAGTAAAGTTAGTAAACCGTTCACGCACCACACCAAGTCTCAATAGCGAATACGAAGCAAGAGAAACGTAACTGGTTAAAACCTAGCATGGGAATTTAAACCTGGCTCGCAAAAACGAAAATTAATAAAATGTAGACTCGGGGAAGGAAGTAACAATTAAAAAAGGATACTTGTACAATAGCAGTTGTGAAAAACGGAAGTTACAATAGCATTACATCAAAACTGTTTGAAGAAATGGCCTGGAAAATTAACACGGTTGCAACAAAACGAACTAGAATTTTTGTCAGCATGATGCAGACTGGCATTGGGCGGACATTTGCCAGTAATACAGCGAACCGAAACGGAAAAATTTCAAAATGCTTTCTACCAAATTTTCCAACTTACGCGCTCTGTCTGCGTAATCGTGAAGAATATTCCTGGCTGTTTCCCGATGTCAAGAAACAATACCGGGGCTTTGAATGGTCAGCAACATGCAACCGCACTCAAGCCCGTTACCCGGCCTCAAGCCCTTTCCCGTGCAGTCGGCATTCCTCAAGGACGCTAGTACTGCCACAGTTACCAGTGTCACTAGAAGCGTCCGGTGCTTTAACTGAGCTGCTGCCGGGCAAAACAGCTACCTGCCTGTGAATGCCTCTTAAGGAAAATGGCCCGGTACAAAGCGTCAAAAATGGGATACATACACTAAAACTTTCGCTTTCGCGCGCTCTGAATCACTTTCTTCCAATACTTTATGTCATTCGAAAGCTAAATGATTTGTACACACTGTTCTGAAAACCGTTTGCGCGCGCAACATCCGGTTGCCGCCATATAACGTACTAAAATTGGCGAAAAGTTTAAATGCATTGTTGTGCACCAAAAGTCTGGTTATTACCCGATCTTCTTGAAACTTTGCTGCAAAAGACACATGACCACAAAGTCAAAAGTGAACCAATTTCAGGTCCATAGCACTTTCCCATAATTTTAAAATGAATTTTAAAATTTTTGAAATTCATTTTAAAATCGGAAAAAATGCTATGGATCTGGTATTGGTTCACTTTCGACTTTGTGGCCATGTGCCTTTTACAGCAAAGTTTCAAAAAGATCGGGTAATAACCAGACTTTTGGTACACGCCCAATGCGTTCAAGCTTTTCGCCCATTTTAATTCCTCATATCTCGTCAACCGGATGTTGCGCGCGCAAACGGTTTTCAGAGCAGTGTGTACAAATCATTTAGCTTTAGGATGACATAAAGTATTGCGAAAAAGCGATTCGGAGTGCGCGAAAGCGACAGTTTAGTGCATTTTCTAGTATCCCTGTTTTGACGCCATGTACCCGGCCATTTTCCTTATCTAGGCAGAGCCGGAAGTGACCCGTCGCGGCATCGCCTGCGACCGGGACAAGCGGTCAGCGGGACCGGTCGCCACCTTTTAAATACCACTCGAAAGTGCCGAAACAGGTCATCCCGCTAGACTGCCGCTTTTACCTGTCGATCGTCGCTACGCAGAGGTGCGGCTTAACCGGGACGCAACCAACTGCAACCAGGAAACCGATGTGCAAGTTGACGTCCAGCGGGTTGGCGTCCTTCCACGACAATCACGACGAGGAAATTGATGGCCAAAGCGGTGCCATTCAACTGATCGAAACTAAATTATTACGTTTCGTAAGTGCGCATATACGCGCTTAAATTGTATATCGGCATGTACGAGTACGTACCTACACGACACAAGTGACGCAGCTGAACCCAGTACCAGTTTAAAAAGTAAGACTGACAAATACTGCCGTAATCGGCCAGTTGGTCAGCGATCGAAAAACTTCTAATTATTTTGATATTATGTCATGCAGCTGTGCAACAAGAGCACAGCCAATTTCTTATTTTATTCCAAAACGAACGCTTTCAAACCGCTTTCAACATCCATTTTGCGCATAAATCGCTAGCTTTGAATTCGAACAGAGAAGCGGGTTTCTTACACACGATAAACCAAGCCATTACTTCGTGCGCTCTTGCACTAAAGGTCATGGGTTCATCAACTTTATTCGGAAGACACATTAATGCCTCCAAAAATCCCTACATGAAACACATTCAAGGCAGAACAGTGCAGACAAACAGTTTAATCCGGCGCTGGTGCCCAGAAGCGACAAAAGCCGGTACGCTCGATCAGGGAAAGGCCTCTGGAAGAGGGCCGTCGCCGCGGCGGGCGCGTCACTTCCTGGCAGCCAGTCGAGCTTGGAAGCCTCGCCCAGAGGCGGCGCCATTGGTGGCTCCTTCGGGGGCGTCCGGTGGTGTTCGCGTCGAAGGCGCACAGACCGCGCGGGGCCCCGCGGCAAAGGGCAGCAGCGGGCGGACGGCGGCGTGCTTGTAGCGGTAGAGCGCCACCACTTCGCTGTCCAGGAGTAAACCACTCTGCACAACACAACACACCGGCGATTAGGATACACTGGAATTCCGCGGACCCCAGCCCCACCTGGACAGGTCCGTCCGTTAACTGCGCGTCGGTCAGGAGCGGGAAGCGGATGAGGAAGAGCGCCGGACCGAGCATCGCACGCCGATTACCCGGCGACGCGTCCAGGGCATTGCGCAGACACGCCGCGGCCGCCCATCTGCAATGCGACGGTACACGACAGTTACAAAAACCCGGTTGCAATTAAATTATAAAGTCTGCGGGTTTGCTGAGAGCGGACTCACTTTTCAGCGGCCGTGTACACTGCGTTCTCGTCGACGCAGAGAGTATTCCGCTGCAGAATCAGCTGCAGGGTCTCCGGTGCGAGGGCGCAGAAGCGCTCCGTGCCCAGCACGACGTCGCTGCAGACGTCCACCCAGTACAGGCACTCCTGCACCACCCGCGCACAACTCTCCAACGGCCAACGCTGCGCCTACACCACAAGCACACCCAAACCCGTTAATTTTGTTAATAATGCAATAATCATATGTTTAACTACATTTTCCAAATAATCCAGGCAGCTGGCGTGATCCAAGCGGCTGAGGACGGCATTGAGCGCCATCTTCGTCAACTGCGGCAAATGATACTTGTCCGCACAATACAGCACCTCCGTCACGCTCTCCGCGCAGACCAGCGAACTCGGCGGCGGCAGGCCCTCCACGGCTTCCACCGTGCCAGTGTACACAAAACTGCAAATCAGCAATCTCACCAATTTAAATATTCTAGAAAAATGTAAAGGAAGTATTTTTTTGTGGCGAAACCTCGAAAACCACGAAGGGAAGGGATGGGAAACTGAGAATTTCTCGAAACGCTTAAGATGAAACTAACGTATCGCTGCAACAGCGGGCGGTTGCAACTGCGTCAAGCACCGGAAGCCCCTAGATTTCTTTATTTAAGATTTGGGCTTTGCTTGTGGTTAAGAAACATGAAATATTTCCGGTTGGACGTTGAATTCCCCTGAAATATTATAGGCCATTTTGAAGAAAATCGCTCATGTGCGTCATGAGCTATGAGAAAACCTATGCCCTTGCAGGCAGACAAAATGTCGCACTGCAGAAAACTGAAAAGTACAACGACAATCGTTAACCACTAAAAGGTAAAATGCGGCGCATTCGCGCGCCCACCCTGTACCTGAGCATACAGGCGAACGCTGCGGGCAGAATCTCCGGAATGTCAATGGGTTGCGCGGTGTTTTCGGGCAGCTCCCCGTAGAACATGGCGCGAAAAACGTCGCTGCGGACACTGAGCAGGAACCTGAGAGTAAATTAACCGATCAGCTTGCCAGTCTGATTACACTGCGAAGTGAGCGGGCTTACTTGTGAGCGGAGAAGATCTTCACTGCCCCACGCTGCCGTCCCACGGCGAACTGCACGTCACTCATTTCGCCGCTGACCAGCAACTGCCTCCAGATATCGTGAAACCCTGGGACAGGGCATGCAGCACGTCATGAAAGGTCCTCCCCAGCCATGACGGTATAAACAAATACGAAAAAACGATCTGGTAGAGAGCAGAAACCTGAAGTTCGCTAATTAAAAAAAATGAGAATATCCTGTTGATCGAAAAAATTTGGCAGTTTTACGTTTCAGTAAGAGAACAACCCGAATATTTCAGCCACCTCCATCGTCCATCAGTACGTAGCTGCCACCCCCTTGGGGATGGTTACGTTAAAGTGGCGTTGACCCGATTAGTGACTACCTGCTTGCGCTTCCTTATCCACCCTGCTAGAAGTTTTTCAAGGCGACGAGGTCAATACTGCGCGTTTGCCAGCTCATGGTCAAACTAACCCAGAAGCCGGCATCTGGTTGAACGACCTATTGCTCATATTGATAACCTTTTGGGAGACGACGAACTGAAGATCAGCGTTGAATCTGTCTGAAATTTTACAAGTCCGTGGACTGGGTACAGGTACCACAGACTGTCATGTACTTTTTCAGCCGGAAGGCACACCCGCGCCATGGCGGTTGAACAGCATCTCCTGCAGAGGTCGTGTGTCTGCCGACTGCCGGCGTTCCCGCAAAAATGGATCCGCTGCGCATCCACACCATCCGCACATCGGAACGCCGCCCGGACGGTTGCACGACTTCCGCCTGGAAACGCGGACTGGGTATCGCGTGGGACGCGACGTGCGTGGAAACTGTTGCGCCGGAGCAAAAGCATGCGAACATAGTAGCCCTCCGGTGTGGACGACGGCGATGGTACATCGTTTGTGGAACGAACAGGTAGCGGCCATCCAGATAGCTGCCTGATTACTTTATCAGTTATCTGTGCTTGCACGGCGGCCGCTCCCACAGAGGCGGATGTGACCCTGACCATTGCGCCAGCGCTTGTCAGCAGAAATTCAACGGCAGAATGCGGCGTCGGTGATGGGGATAACGAGATATTTTTGGTGTAATTTTGCGTACATTTTCGCAATGTCGTTTCAAGTTAGCTTTGACCAATAAAGCCAAACCCAGTCTTAGCGTAAGCATTAAGCACTTATAAAGTCACCGCTGTCTCGGTATCGAGAAAATTCTCGGTTTAGGCTCGCACAGAGGAGCGCTTATTTTGCGAAAATACGCGTTAAAACCAAGCATTTACTTTGGATTCTTGCATCAAAGATCATCGGCCATTTAGACTAGAGTCATGTCCGTCATCGGAATTAACCAGACTACACTGTAGGACCACAAAAGTGGAAACCAGACACTCGACAAGCGGTTGAAAACTTGAATAGTAAATAACATCAACAATCAAAGTACAGTTACAGCAGAAACACATCCAATGCACACAGTAACTCATCAGCACCGGATCTGGATGCCGGAGCGCCTATCTGCGGTAAAACGCTAACCGAAGCATTCTTTATCCAGTCGCACCACTATACACTGGCAAGAGTAGGCACCAAATAATCCTTGGACGCTCTCGATACAGCAAGTCTTCCCTCTGCCGATAATTGTGAAATCCATTGCATCGAGGCGAGTGGAAATTCATTCGGCGTGAAGAGCGGCTACAAAACAGCGGGGTCAATGAGGCGGATCTTCGGCACCCGCAACGGGGCGCCGCCGCCGGGGGATTCCGCCGGGGGTCCTCGCTTGCGCCGGCCGCGCGATTCCACCGGGAAGGGCAGCGGTGGGCGCACGGCGGCGTGCTTGTACTGGTACAGCGCCACCACTTCGCTGTCCAGCAGCAAACCACTCTGCCCAGCACACATATTATTGTTATTATTATTATTATTATTTTTCCAGCATATTTTTCCTATTATTATTATTAATTTTCATATACCGGCGAAATATAACTGTTCCCTTCAAATACATTTATTTGCAAGGAATGGGTGATATCAAATACGAGATATTACTGTAATTTTAGAGCGCGGAATTGTTAGTTGAATATTTTACTGACGACTGTTTCCGCTGCGCTGATGCAGGGAAACCGCAGCTTACCTTAACGGGTCCATCAGCCAGCTGCGCGTCGGTCATGAGGGGAAAGCGGATGTGGAAGAGCGCCGGGCCCAGCATCTCGCGCAGGTTGCTTGGTGACGGATCCAGGCCGTCACGCAGGCACGCCGCTTCCGCCCATCTGCAATCCAAAAGTACTTCACATTCACTTGAATCCGTTGTTTGAAATAAATAAGTACAGTACCAAATTAAATAAATGCAAAATAAATTAATTAAAATTCAAAAAGGCATTTTATCAGCGAATTTATTATCAAAACGAATAAATGCATCTAAATACTGGACTCTCTAATCTGAATTAATAATCAAATCAAATATTAATTCGCATGTGACTTAATCCTCAATTCGAATTAAACATCCAATCGACTAATCAGAAATTGAAAATAACAAACCGGTGCAGATTAAAAACGAAATAACAACAGACACACAAGACTGACCTCTTAACGGCCGTGTAAATGGCGTTCTCGTCCGCTTGCAAGAGGCGGCTCTGCAGAATACACAGCAGGGTTTCCCGCGACACGCCGCAGAAGCGCTGCGACGGCAGCACCGTGTCGCTGCAGATGTTTAAGCAGTCCAGACAATCATCCGCGATTCGCGTACAACTCTCCAGCGGCCAGCGCTGCGCCTACAATTTAGCAACGAAGCATTAACAATTAAATTAATTAAATTGACAATACATAAATCAATTAGATAAATCAAGTAAAATTAAAACTCAAGTAAAAATTAATCAAGTAAAAAATAAAAATCGAATAAAAACCAAAATTAAATAAATATAAATAAATTAAATTATTGAGAATTAAATAAATACATAAAATAAATTAAAAAAGTAAGCGAAATAGATAAATTAAATGAGTAGAGCAATAGTGACTAACGGAAATTAAATAAAATTATTCAACTAAAAATTAAATAAAAACAGAAATTTAATAACGAGACGCTGCATATATTAAATTCAGAATTAAATAAATATATAGTACGTAACAAAAGTGACAGCAATAATCAAATTTTGTAGAGCAACTGTCACACCGTACTTACATTATCCAGATAATCGAGGCAGTTTTGCTGGTTAATCTGGCGGAAGACGGTGCGCAGCGCCAGCTCCGTCAACCGCGGCAGATTGTACTTGTCGGCGCAGTACAGCACCTCGAACACGCTGTCCACGCCCGACAACGAACAGGGCTCGGGCAGGCCCTCCACGGCTTCCACCGTGCCCGTGTACACAAAACTACAACAATTCCCATTTCCACATTCTCAGAAATTCAATACCATGCAATGAGAAATTAAATACGGCGCAAGTGGCCGTTCACCCGGTACCTCAGCATACTGGCAAACGTCGACGGCAGGATTTCCGGGATATCAATCGGTTGCGCCGTGTTTTCGCGCAGATCGCCGTACAGCATGCGCTCGAAGACGTCGCTGTGGACGCTCAGCAGCAACCTACACCGCATCCCGCGTGTTTTGCAACTGGATCAACAACTGAGGAGGAAAAAGCAGCATCCTTACTTGTGAGCGGAGAAGATCCTCACCTCGCCCCGCTGCCGTCCGACGGCGAACTGCACATCGCTCTTGTCTCCGCTGACCAGCAGCTTCTTCCATCCTCCGTGCGATCCCGCGGCTCGCGGCGCCGTCTCCGACATGACAGCGTCGAGAAATCATACACTTTATAAACCTTGAAAATAAAAAGTAAAAACGAAAAGATATAAACTTGAAAACAGCAAGGCGAGCCAAACTAAAAAGAACCAAAAGGCGAAACAGAAAAATGAATTTAAAAATGCGAAAATAATCTGCTGCGGGATTCTAACGTAACTGCCACCGCCTTGACGATAGCTGCGTTGACGTGACGTTGCCTCGACTGACGGCATTTGCCACTGCATGTCAGAACATGAAAGTGAAAAATCGAAAATCGATGAATTTTTCCCCATTTTTTCTCTGTCCTCATTTTGAAAAACTCTGTGGTTTTTTGTTTCCCCAATTGAAGGGATATTTTTGTGGATAGGATTAGGTATAGTTTACCGAGCGATTGTTGATCGAACGAGACCACTGCGCTGCGCATTCGACATTGTTTTCGTTGTTGATCCCGTTGATTCGCAGTTTTCAGCCTGATCATGTCTTCCCCCGGACCGCATTATTACGACATGGATTTAACCCACGCCCCGGCCCCCTCCGTAGCCCGCTTGGTCGTCATCGCCGGCCCCGCGTGCAGCGGGAAATCGGGCCTGATCAAGCGGTTGTTGACCGATCTGGGCAAGGACAAGATCGGGTTCAGCGTGTCGCACACGACACGGCCGCCGCGGCCCGAGGAGCAGGAGGGCATCCACTACCACTTCTTCACCGACGAGGCCTTCGAGATGGCCGTGCAGAACAACGAGTTCGTCGAGCACACCGAGTTCTGCGGCCACCGCTACGGGACGTCGAAGCGCGCCGTGTTGAGCGTGCTGGAGACGGGCAAACTGTGTCTGCTGCAGCTCAACATGCAGGGCCTCAAGAATCTCAAGAAGCTCGACTTGAATCCGGTGGGTGGGCGCTGCTTTTCTAGCCAAATTTTATTATTTCCGTATCCGTGATTTTTTTGCGATTTTTATCGATTTATTCCGTCATTTTTATGCTTATTGATCAAGTAAAATTCAAAATAATTATTTGGCATGTTATAATGTTATAAGTTATATTTCAATAATAATTGTTATTATTAATTCCAAAATAAGCCAATTTCGAAATTTAACATATGAAAAATCTCGAGCCTAATCCAGTCAGTGCGCGCTGGTTGTCTGGCAAAGTCTATTTTCTGTTTTTCGTCGACGTATTTATTTATGATTTTTTATCATTTCTGCTGATTTATTCTGAATTTTCTTATTTTTTAAGTTATCAATTCCGCCAATTTATTATTTATGATAATTTCACTGATTTAATCCGTTTTGATTTTCATCCGTTGAATCATTTTTTTAAAAATTCGTATTTTTAAATCTTTGTTATTTTTAGTTTTCTTGTTTCTTTTCCGTTGTTCTTATAATCTTGTTATATTTAATGCCTCGATTACTTCAGAAATTTGGTTGATTTATTCTGTGTTTTGGAATTAATATCGTTTTGTGTAATGTTTTACATTTAATTTTCCGGTATTTTTGTGTGTGGTAAATGAATGATTTTTTAAAAAAATTTCTGTTAAACTTTCCCGCGGTACGATTCTCGTGTGCATTATCCTTTAAAAATAGATTAGAATTATTTCCTAGTGTTGTGAACTTGTGAGAGCGACTGATTATTAATTTACGGGGAATAATTATTGTAAGCAGTAAATAAATTATGGTGCTCCTTTTTTGGTGCAGGTGTGCATCTGGATCGACACGCCGAACCTGGAGGAGCTGGAGGAGCGCATCACGGAGCGGGGCGCGGAGTCGGAGGCGGAGCTGGAGGAGCGGCTGGCGGCGGCCAAGGAGGAGAAGGCGTACGGCCGCACGCCCGGCCTCTTCGACTTCCTCATCGTCAACGACAACTTCGACGTGGCCTACGACGAGCTCAAGCAGCTCATCGAGCGCCTCTACACGCAGACCGCCCACCAGCAGCAGCAACAACAACACGACCAGGCCAACAGCCACGCATCACCCTAAATCCACAAAACGTAAGCCGGTATTTTCTTCCTATTTTTGTCTTTATTTTCCTTTCTTTTTTCCTTGTTTTTCGTTTAATTTTTATTTTTTTTCCTTATTTGATATTTTCTTAGCTTGTTTCTTCTTCATTAAGAGGGTATTTTTTCCTTGTTTTTTCTTTGAGTTTCTTCTTGAAATGTTTATCAATTTTCTGTATGCTGTGTTGTTTTCCCTTATTTTTAGTTATATTCGTAGGTTCATTTCTCAATTTTCTGTACTACTTGGTATTATTTTATGGTTTCATCTCTTCTTCATTTTGATAGTATTTTTCGTAGTTTTCTTCTTCATTTTTCATTATCAGATTTTTTGGGGTAAAATTTATTCATTTCTATCCGTACTGTAAGTGTTAAGTAGAGGTTTAGCTGTATTTCCTCTTAATCTTTTATTGGTTTCTATATTTATTTTTTATCTTCGTACTTGTATACTGTTATCCGTAATAATTAATTTTTTAATTAAGTACGTACTGTGCTAGCATTTTCTTTTCCGTGGCGGTTCGTATTGTGGAAAGATAAAAATGCGGAGAAATTATTGCATGTTTCCAGGGAAACCCTTAAATTAGGCTAAATTAATTTTCTGGCTATACAAGTACTCGTACGGTATTTTCTTGTAAGTTGCGTTCGTGTAGCGTAGTAGACGTATACTTGATGGAATTCCTTGGTTAACCGTTCATCGGTGCCGCGTTATTTGCCGGTGTTGTTGTGCTTTGGCTAATCTCCACGTGCGACTGGCGCGCATGTGCTCCGGCGTGTTTGGCTTTCTCTGGCCGGCGTTGACTGTGCCGCGGGCTGTTTTTACCGCTCTCACCATCAGCTGTTCGGCTAACCGGTGCATGCGCTATTCACGTCAACACTTTCCTGAATTTGGCCTTTTTTGTTTCTTCTTTCGTCCTCCCGGAACAAAACTACGCTGCTGACTGGATTGAATCTGAACCACCTAATTTTACTCTTAACTGCTTTGTATTTTACAGTAGTAAAATTGAACAAAACAAAATTTAATAAATTTTTTATCGTGCAAAACGTCAACATTTAAAAACCGTCGTTGTACAAACTGTATGCAGAATTTTCTGGGAAAAATCTGAGACTGGATAGAATTTGTACCATCAATGTTTACACATATGTACTCGTATGATACGTATTTTATGTATTTCTTATTTAACCGATTTTTAATTCAGTAAAATTTTGGACTTAATCGATTAGATTGATTAGAGTTTGGTAAAAAATACCGGGAAAAAATCGCAGAATAAATGCGTGTACAGTAGCTTGCGTTGAATTTTCGCAAAATTAATACACAGAAAATTGTGGCAAATAGAACTTTTTACATTGTCGGTAAATGTTGTGTCGTTGTAGGTCGTTGGATTTCTTGGCGTTGGGGAATGTGAAGCAAGCTGGGAAATTATTTATTAGAAAATACAGATACCGGCACAGAAATGCACTTTGTTGGTTGTTTTTTTTGTAAGATTTTGCGCGTGAGGATGAATGTGATGTGGATGCTTTTTTATCTCTCCATGTAACGTTGTGACATTAGGCTCGAATTGACTTAATCCATTTGTATTTCGATCATCATTCTAATTCTGTACAGCTGTACTCTATATTTCCGATATTTTTCTTGTTATGTGCTGCAAAAACCCGCATTTAATTCAGTGCTTGCCTATTTCTTCGGTCTGCATGGAAAAAAAATCTTCAACGCAGTTATTTTCTGTACTAAAATTGGTATAATAATAAATTTTAAAACAGTTTAAAATGTATTCAGTTCATTTCGATGCAAAAAATGAACATTTATGAACGTCGTTATACTCCTGCGTGAATCGACAAACGTAAAAACTCCCGCAGAAAGAAGATAACAAATTTGAAATCTTAGAAAATATTGGACTTTAAAATGAATTTTTCAATAATAATCCTGTCACTAATTAAAAATCTAGTTTTGCCGTTACCGGAAAAAATTATAAAAACTACGCAATTGTGGTCGTAGAGTAACCAAAAAAATGCATTTGTTTTAATAGCGTCAACAAATAAAATCTGATTCGGTCGTTTGTGAAAAAAATCGTAGAAAAACCGCGCAATACAAATAGACAGTGAAGAGGTCATGTTCCCGTGCTGCGGGCGTAACGATATGCCTAACAGAAAAACTCATATCTAACAAATTTAAGAAAAAAAATGTGGTTTGTACAGAATATAGTTTGCGTACTTCTGTGTTGCTTTTTTAATCATATTGGTATCTTCGATTTTTTCATTGGACAAAGTTACAGATTAATTAAGTTATTTGTACTTTTGCTTCCGAACTCTTCTGAACTTGGACTTTGAAGAGAGCATTAAAAATAGGAAAATTAAAAACAGGAAAAACACGTCAAAAGAATTCGGATTCAACAGGTAAAAAGAAGCAAGGTCAACAGAAAAGCTCTTCAAAATCATCGTGAGGCGGGGTCATACGAGGACGTAACTACTTGGCCGTTTTCTTGCTGCGCCTGCACCAGTACCCCTTCCAATCCTTCAACAGTTGCACAAAATACCGGCCCAAGGGAACGGTGAACTGCCGGGAGGATCCGTCTGGATACAAGATATCCAGGTTGAACTGCACACGGTCGTGGATGTTGCTTTCGACGGCGCGGTGCGTATACACGAGATGCATATCAAAAACACGCAGGATATCGGCGGCCGACATCGTCTGCACCTGCCGATCATACACTTTCTCGCCGCTCACTTCGAAAGGTTTCTTATGACCTTTAGCGCCCGGCGCGGCTCGACTATCCACCTCGTTGGTCGGCGTCATAGTGCGGGGATCGGCGACGCGACGAAAAACGTACAGGGCCGCCCAGAATGCCTCCTGTTCCGGCGGCTGATCGCTGAACTTGACGGCAAGGCAATACTGGATCTGCGTCGCCGGGCCCAGCAGATTAGCCGCTTTTAGGAACGCGTGTGTGGTCTTCTCGTGGGTGAAAGCCACTTGACAAGCGATGACATCCGGACTGGGAGCATCTCCCGTTAACAAACTGGAAAACGTCAGTATCTCATCGACTTTCGCTTTGTACACTATGCCGCAGCCCAGCCTGTCGGCAATCCCCTCCAAATCCACTGCTGCATAAGAAGTAAAATCATCATCGTCAATCGAGGGGTTCAGCTGCTTCTTGACCGCGTCCATCAGCTGGCTGACGGCACCGCTGTGGACGGCGGAGGCGCGGGCTACGGCGTACGTCCAGTTCATGTGTACCAGAAGGCGACACGAGCCGCGGTACTCGTCCGCGTAGTACTCCCAGTCCGCGGTGTCGTAATCACTGTGCAATCCCACAGCGAATGCTACATCCGTCGCGAACAGCCGGGCGGCCACCAGGGCCTGCACCTGGTCCAGGTCGCGGATCAACGCCGGTTTATTAGACATTTCTGCAGAACAACCAAAAACACAAGTTGCAAATTATGCAGCATAAACGGTCCAGAGGCACTACCAATTCCGTAGCCGTAAGAGGTATGCCTGCACACCTACCCAGGGATTCCGGGAGTTCGTGTCCGCTAATCAAGCGGCCGACGGTGGACAGCAGAGTGTCCAGCACAGCCAGGAAGCGCGCCGTCGTCTCCTGCAACATACAGAAAATGGGAAATGTGAAGGAAAGATGACTGGGGACAAAACAACTCACTTGGCGATCGCCACCGGTAAACAGCTGACCGACTAACGGCTCAACGACGCTGCCAAGCTCCACCCGCAGCTCCTCGGAAACAGCATACCGCAGAGCTTTACTCATCCCGCCCGCGACGCCTAGAACCGCTTCGCGCTCGGTGTCACGGCAGCTGCGAAGCGCATGCAGCGCACTGTCGGACAGCTCCCCCGGGGCGGCCAGCGTCGCCGACAGGACCTTCAGGCGGGAGCGGCGCTGCAGGAGGATCAGCTGGCAGGCCGACGCCAGCAGCAGGCACTGCCGGGGGGCCAGCTCATCGGCCACGCTGAACAGCTGCGCCTGTTGGCCGCGGAAGGCCGCGTATCCGTCGCGCTGCAGCGTCGCGACCACTTCCTCCACCGGGAACGAGCCGGATGCGGCGCTGTCATCCGCACTCGCGGCATCTCCTGCAAAACAGCTGCAGCCACTTACAGCACGACAGGGCGAAAGAAAATGAAAATTCCAGATTCGAAATCAGCGCATCAAATAATCTCTAACAAGCCAGTTTCAAGCGATTTGACCGTGTACTTTTCGAGATCTGGAAAATATGACCGGCGTCCGCGCTCAGCGGACTGATTAACCGCACGACGTACCTAACCTGTTTAGCCTCGTTCTCACTTCCTGTACAGCAGACAAGAGAGCAACACTGTCAGAGAAGCGCAGCGAGGTTCCAGGCAAACAGACACGACTACCTCAATGATCTCGGCGGCATTGACGGGGAAGGGCGCTTGCGGGGCAAAAGGTCGGGAAATATCGCGGGTTGTAGTGTTGTTGCCCTGGGACGGGAGGGCAGCTAAGGGGCGGGCCGTGGCGAGGCCTCGGTCGCCCGGGCGGCACGACCAGGACGGCCAGAGAATATCGCCGTCCAGTGCGAACAGCCGCAACGGTTGCCCTCGGCTGGCTGTGGAAGGGAATGGTATCCTGTTCAAGGAGTGAATTATCCAGTTATCAGTCGGCAACTGCTATTACTCCAGTACACCCGAATGGAAATTAGGTAAAAAAGGGTAGTGTGGCGTGCCGAGCTCAGCTGCATTGACTGCTTGTACAGTGCTGTATAGTGTCTACTGATCCTCATCCGTTTATTGTTTATTGTTTATTGTACGGCAGGCAGGTAACCCATTAAAAGGCTAGGATCGAGTTCTAGCCTGGGAATTTAAACCTGGCTAAATAACAGGAATCATGAAATTAGAGCAAAAGCCACAAAACAAGAGAAGTACTAAGAAAAGAAAGGCATCAATTAATAGTAACATGCTTCAGTGATTTACGAAAAACAGCAAGCGAACTGCTCTTAAGAATGTCGCTTCCGGCCTCGGTTAGCTGGCTCATAACGTTGTTCAGCCTCCACGCCAACGTGGACTTCCCCGTCCTTGTCCTTCCCTGTCCTTCGATGAAGGTCCTGTTTCCGCTTCGAAGGCTGTACGGTTTGGAATCGTGTTTTACGACGATCATTTCGGTGAGGTAACGGGGCACTTGGAACTTCTCCGGGTGCAGAATTTTGTAAAGCCAAGTTGCTTCCTGGTGTTTCCATCGCTTAAACAGTGGCGTTATCTCGTATTGCTTCATCAGGTCGGTGGTGGACACTTCGGCATAGTTGGCAATAGCTCGAATGGCTTTTCTTTGCGCGACAGCCAGCGGCTCCAGCGTGGACACAGGCGCACCGCTCCACACAGTGGAGCAACGGTCCAGATGAGACTGGACAAATGCGTGATAAAGTCCAACGCGTTGGGGCACCGGCAGCCCGCTCTTCACACTGTTTATGAGGGCGACTCCATGATAAGCACTTTTTTGAACCTTTTTAATTTGGTCGGTCCATTTTAAATGCTCGTCAATTATCACTCCCAAGTGCTTCACTGATTTTTCCGGTTCAAGCTTATGCCCATTCAAATCAACCGACACGATGCTTTTGTCCCGACTGTACGCTGAAGTGATCATGAGCAGCTTAGACTTCTTTTCATTGACAACCAAGCGGTTCAGTTCAAACCACTCACAAATTATTGGAAGCACAGCGGTTATTTTGTCTGCTGCACCTGACTTCGTGTCTGCTATCGCATAGCAGATCGTGTCATCAGCGAAACTTTCTAACCGGACATCAGGACAACGTAAATTTATTTTCAACAATTCGTTCAGGTAAATGATAAAAAGTAATGGACCGAGAATGGAACCCTGTGGCACACCTGCGTACACACGTTCCCATGAAGACATCCGCTCACCAATTCGCACCCGTTGCATTCTGCCAATGAGATACGAGTGTAACCATTCAAGTGCATCACTGTTGAAACCAAGATCGCGCAGTTTTATTAATAACAAATCATGACACACTGAAGGAAAAGCACTTTTTAGATCAAGGAAAACACAAGCCACCGCCTTTTTGTTGTCAACAGCCTTTTTCCATGTTTCCGTCACTTTAAGAAGCAACGTTTCACACGAATGACCGTTTCGAAACCCAGACTGGCATTCAGATAGAATGTCGTGACTTTTCAAAATTTAACAATTTGCGACTGTGCAACTTTTCAAACACTTTCGACAGATTACACAATAAGGATATCGGCCGCACTTGATCTACCGATTTTGGCTGACCGCACTTCGGCAGGGCGATTACTTCAGCTTTTTGAAAATGTCTGGAAATATTTTTTGATAAAACACTGATTGATCAGGTGAGTCATAGGCTCCACCAGCAGTGGATAAATCTCCTGCAAGAGTTTATGCGGGATACCGTTAGGCCCGGCGCATTTGTTCTTGCTGAGAATGTTCGTAAACGCTTCCGCAACTGTCACAGCAGTTACCTGTTCAAACGCAAACAACGGAGACTCGCTGGCAGCTGGTACCGCCGCCGGCGGGTGGGGCTTCCGTGTTCTCCCATCTGGGCGAAGTGTTTATTCAATTCATTAGGTTCAAAGTCCACAACAACATTCGGTTTACTTCGATTCAGCATCCGGTTTAATTCCCGCCAAACTGCAGCACCGTTTTGGAGTTCTGCTCAAAGTAACGTCTTTTGGCTTCTTTGATTTTAAGAGTTACTTCGCGCTTTAAATGTTTAAATTGTCGATTATTACTTTCGTAATCGGAAGTATTTTTCGACAGTTTTTACGTTTATACGCGAGATCTTTTCTTTAGAAGCCTTTTGATGTCACCTGTTACCCAAGGAGCAGTTTTCTGAGAAACGTGTTTAGAACGTAATGGAAAACACGAATCAACAATTTCAAACAAACCACACACAAAATTCGTTACTTCAGAATCCACGTCGCTGTAGTCGACGTAATTGACGTATTTCTTGGTAAATTCAAAAACCTTGCCCTTAAACTGATCGATTTGCGTCGCTTTCCAGTCTCGAAAACTCTCAGTGCGATGTTGCGGTTTCTTACATGGAAAAGCTGCAATAGTTTTACATACGCGGTGGTCGGAAATATCAGTGTCTGCTGGAAGGCACGGCAAATATGAGCTGGCTGGTCTGCATAGAATGTGGTCAATCTTCGACTGGGATACGTTCAGGATATTATCGGGTTTCTTCAAGTACTGCGCTACTCGAGTGTACCCGATTACATTATCTGCGAGCGAAAAATCTTCAATAAAATCGACAGATAGTTTGTAAAAAGAACTTTTAGAATTAGGAGAAATATCGATATTAAAATCGCCCATAACCACATGATCGTAATCGGGATACTTCAGCAGGACCTCTCGCAAATGATCAAACAGCATTTGGGTCTCCGACGTATTACTATCCGGCTGACGATACACAATACCCAAAATGATTTTTCTACCAGAAATACGCAATTTTAACCACAAACACTCGAAGCCCTTAACCTGAAAGTTTACTTCTATACGAACGGCGCTAATGAAGTAGGGAACATAACAGATAATTCCTCCACCGCGCTGCTTCCCGTGAATTTCAGATCGGTCGGTGCGAAACAAACAGTAGTCCGGGATACAATAAATCTGGTCTGGATCAAGCGATGAAAGATGAGTTTCCGTAAGAGCAAAAACTTTAGATACATTATCATCAAAGCCAAGATAGCGGGTTACAACATCTAGTTTATCGTAAGAGAAACCTTGAATGTTCAGATGGTAAAACTCAAGTGCTGGCTTTTGAGCGTAGACATCTCACACATTGGACTTAGCAGGCTATACTATAGATCATTCGATAGAGAAAAAGCTCTTTTACTTGCCAGAACTAAAAGTAAGAAGAGAAAGTTTGTACAAAATGAATTATTTAAAGAAAACTACGCTGGCTGCGCGGATTAAAATTTATCCGCCAGCCAGCCAGCCAGATGGCGGATAAATTGGCTCGTCCAGCGTCCAGCCAGCCAGGTGCGTCCAGCCAGCCAGATGTACACTGGCTCTGTGGATGCCACTGATGATCTGAAGGTTAATCTTGTCGTGTCGTGCGTACCGTGTCGTGCGTACCTGGATGCTGCGATACGAGTTGCTCGGCGCCAGGGGATCATTCTGGGATTGGGATGCCAGCTGGAAACAATTCGCTTAGGCAGGTTTCGTCAGTGTCCATGATTCATGGACGTTTGCATCAGCTGGATGCAGCACAGGCTGCACAGCATAGCACTTTTGCCGTTCTACAGTAACCAGAAATTACAAAAGTATTCCATATTCTCCGCCCAATGTTTAATGCACAGGGTTCGAGAGGTCAACTGATTCACAAATGACGTTCCGCGTGAGTAAATCAGCAGATGGAGAAAACGAGTGGAGAAGCAATTCAGGAGATTCAGGGAATTGTAAGCAGAAAATAAATTAACGAGAAAGCTGAAAGCTGAAAATGTTGAAAATACTTTGTGTAAGCATATGTAACAGTTGCAACCTTCCCGGTCTGGCAGCGCGATTTGGCTTTATTTTCTCTCATTGATGAAAATTCTGTGTCAGTCAGTCTGTCGATTCTGTGAGGCTGCGAGCTATTACTGTTTTTTGTCTTTTTGACTTGATGATAATTACCAAGGATGATGATAATCTCGATGGGAAATAATTCGCACTGATTAAAAGAGATCATTTTGGTTAGAATAATCGCCAGGTAAGGTGGTGCAGGTGGAAAGATGGCTGGCTAACGGCGACGGGCTGCGTGCTGAGTGTTTGAGAGCTCAGTCTGCGCAGAGCTGACAACTCTGCAGCAGCATGCAGTCTGCCAGACGAGAAAACTGTTTTTCGGGGCCGTTTTGTCAGTGCAGACACTTTTGAGTATTTTGTAGACTTTCCAGCGGGTGTCGTGTTACTAGTGGCATCATCTCCGCGGCTCCGGCTCAGAAATAGTTCTTTGGTTGTTCCTTCGACAGCGACGTCCTCTCTATGTGCTGCGTGCTGTACGGCTCTGTCAGGCGCCGTTGCTGCCGTCCTGCAGGCGATGACACTCACTGTCTGCAGGCAGCGTTAGTCCTCTCCGCAGTGCACCACATCTTGCACATACTACGCTCAGCGCTCCGTGGACCGCGATGATGCGGCGCACACTGGCCGGTTCCCTGTACTGGCGCCGCGGCTGCGGGCGTGCCGCGGGCGCTGTACGCCGCAGTGCGCTGCGCCGTCCCCTCCGGACCACCCCCGCCGCCTACCAGACCGTCGCGGAGGCGGAGGCCGGCCTGCCCCTCTACGACCACATCATCAACCAAACGCTGCGCGCCTTCACCGAGCAGGTCCCCATCTGCTGGCGCTATCTCGGACGCCAGGTGAGCATTTCTGTATTAATTTTTATGCTTTTTATACAAGGTGTTAGTAATATTATCCAAATTAAAGGTTTTCTTTATCGATTTGGCTGTAATTATTTTGTGAATTTGTAGCTAATTATAATTTATTTTGTCGTATAATTAAATGGTTTCGGTAGTAAGTAGTTTGTCATTTTCTTGTAAATAATTGGATGCATCTTGCCAGTTTTGTTGCGGTTTAGGGGAGCGGAAGATCCGCCATGCGGTGTGCCTGTTTATTTTCCCCACAATAATTCTGTGGTTTATATAAGGTGTCCGCAGCCGGTTTTCTCTTTATTCGCGGTTCATTTCAGATTGGTTCGTTGCAGTTGGCCGGCATACCCTGCGGAATTCCCAACGGACAGGTCCCCGTCCGTCGCGAGGGGACGAAGCCTGACACCGGCGGAGGAGCGCGGCCGGGCGGTTGCCTCCTCGCGTCCGTCGGCAGCCGGTTCCCGGGCGCTGTCCGTCGTCTTCCCCTCGTGAGTCCGCGCTACATGACTGTCCGGCGCAGCTCGAAGGCATTCGTCCCGCAAGCGCCGGTTACCCCGGCTGACGCGCGCGATCTAATCGAGGTGTCTGGCCCGTGTTTTGCCCGGGTGTGATCCGTACTGGCTTCTATGTCCGTTGTCGTTTGCAGAGACTCCGTGAGAAACTCGGCGAGGCTGACGGTCAGTTGTGGAGCAGTGTGCCGTATCAACTGTCGGGTCTGACTGACCTGGTTGGCGTTCGTTTCGCAGAAGACAGTGCGGAGGCCAGCGCCGAGTCCGGCTCATTCCCGGTGGAGGAAGTGGTCGCTGCGCTGCAGCGCGAGGGATACGCGGCCGTCCGCGTCCAACTGGCGCGGCTGTTCAGCGTGGCCGATGAGCTGGCCCCCCGGCAGTGCTTGCGGCTGGCGTCGGCCTGCCAGCTCATCCTTTTGCAGCGCCGCTCCCGGCTGAAGGTCTTGTCGGCGACGCTGACCGCCCCAGGGGAGCTGTCCGACACTGCTCAACGCGCGCTGCAGGACTGCGTTCGCGCGGAGCGACATATTGTTCTGGATGTCGCAGGTAGGCTGAATAATCTCATGGGCTACGCCGTTGAACATGAATTACGGGAGGAGCTGCAGAGCGCGGTGGAACCGTTAATCGGCCAGTTGTGGACCGGTGGCAATCGCGAAGTGAGTAGGCGTGTCCACTGTCAATTTTTTCAGCGCATCCTCCGATTTGACGTGTTTTTTTCGTGTTTCTTGCAGGAGATGACCTCCCGCCTACTCACCGGGCTGGACACCTTGCTGTCCGCCGTCGGCTGTTTGATCAGGGGACACGAGCTGCCGCCGACGCTGGGTGGGTGGGTGCGCCCGTCGCGCACCGCGTTGTGTGCCTGTGACGCCCGCTCTTAGTTACCTTTGTGTTTCGGTTTGCAGACTTGCTGCAGAAACCCCCTTTGATCCGTGACCTCGACCAGCTGGCCGCCCTCGTCGAAGCCAGTGTCTTTCCGCCGGATGTCCAGTTGGCTGTGGGTCGGCACAGTGATTACGCGGACGCCGAGTGGCGCTACTTCGTGGACCACTACGATGGACCCTGTCGGATTGCGGTCCATATGGGCTGGGTGTACGCCGTTCTCCGCGCCACCTCCGTCCACGGTGGCGCCGCCAGCGAACTGATGGACGCCGTCAAGAGGGGGTTAAACGCCAAGAGACAGGATTTCATGTCGCAGACGGAGGTGGATCTGAAGGATGTCGTGGATCGACTGGGCTGTGGAGTCTTACACCCGCGTAAACCCGCAGCGATAGTGGAGTTCTCGGGACTGGTGACAGGAGAATTTAACGAGAAAAATCCGGATGTCCTCGTCCTGGAGATCGCCTTTACCCATGAGCAGCATGCCCTCCTGTTTATCGAGGCGGCCAATTTGTTGGGCCCCGCGACCAACTTCCAGTATTGTCTCGCTCTCAAAGTAAACGACCGCTCCCCCGAGACGTCGCCCTTCTACGCCGCACTCTACGTTTTCAAACGTGTAGCCAATCCGTGTACTAAGCCGCCGACGCGCTCCACCAGCTGCAGACCGGCCCACGAAGGCCTGCCGGTGGGGAGTGGCCATCCAGCGGAGTACGAGGTCAGCATAGCGATAATTAAACTCTTAATTATGCTGGGAATTAAACATTATGATTATTTCCATGAAAATTATGGCAATTTTGATTATGCTGAGCATAATTAAAATTGCGCCTTTTTAATTAAGCTTTATAGGTCATTTTTAATTATACTTAAGCTTAATTATGAGTCAAATTATGAATAATATGAATAGCTTGATTAAAAGAAAATGGATTTTAATTATGATAAGCAAAATTAAGATTGGGCAATTTTAATTATGCATCAGTTTAATTAAAATTTTTGAATTTTGATTATGCTGATCATAATTAAAATTGAAAAATTTTGAATTTTGATTATGTTGATCATAATTAAAACTGAAAATTTTTGAATTTTGATTATGCTGAGCATAATTAAAATTGATCAGTTTTCAATTATTATAAGCTTAATCAAAATTATAAGCAAAATAATTATGATGAGTTTAATACTCACTAGGTCAGCGGAGAGCGCGTAACTAATGAGAAAGCAAGGAACATGTCTGTTGCCGATATTCGGCGCATTTTCGACATGGAGATGGTCTTCAGACACCGCGCCGACGACAGCAATTTGATGGATCCCGTGGAGTTCCGTCTGGACATCCAGTATCCGGATGGCTCGTGGCAAGTGTTCAGCATTTCCCTTGGCATATTTTTCCCGTATGTGAGAGGCCTTTGGGTGCAATACTTTAAAAAGCAAGCCGAAATAAAAGCGATCCGGAAGTCCGGGGCCAAGTAAAGAGAGGGCGTGAGGAGGATTGTGATGTTGATGCTTTGTATCTCTGCATATAGCACTGTGACATTGGCCTGAATTATGCCAACTCTTTTGTGTTTCGAGCATCGTTCGATACAGCTGTGCGTTATTTCCCATATTTTTCCCTGTTATGTGCTGTAAAAAACTGCATTTATCGTATTCCATTACTTGCTTTTTTCTTCGGTCTGCATGGACAAGTCTTCAGTGCAATCATGGCCTACTGAAACCAGAAAATTAAAATGTGTTAAATTTCATATCCTGCACAAGAAAACAAAATTTATAACCGTCGTTATGCAACAAAATAGATAATGAAAAATTGATTATAAAGAATTGTCGCAAAAAATACGATATTAAATCTGTAAAGTGCCGTCAAGATTTCTAAAAAAATCAGGCAGTAGTTCGGTTTTATTGTTTCATATGGTTCACCTCGAGCATGGACGGAATAAGCACATAAAGAGAAATATTTATCAATTTTAAAATGGTTATAATAGTTGCTAAAATCTGAAACCGTCGTTATACGTATTAGTACTGTACTGACACCCGTCCCCATGGATCTATTTTAATACCGTCAATAAATAATAGTTAAATTGCTCCGGTACAGAAAAATTCACCGAAAAATCACGAACAAAAATCAGACAGTAAATTGGACAAAAACCTGTAATTTGCGCGTGGACGAGCCGTCGGCGGCGAGCGCGTCGGCGATCTCCTGGCGGATGTCCTGCATATTATCGCGGTACGTCGGTTCGATTAACAGGGTGCCGATGGCGGTGCGGATCTCGTCGGCCGGCACGATGTGCCCGAAGAACATGTCGGTATTGCTCAGCATCAGCGCCGCGCCGCGCTTGACCAGCAGCTGCCCGATGCTGCGCTGGTCGGCGACAGCGGCCAGGATTAAACCGGGAGGTCCTGGAAGATGTCCTGCCTCTCGAAGGGGATCGTCGCCGTGATGTCCTTCAGCGGCAGCGGCTAGCGCAGGGCTACATACAGTACGTACTGCCTTCACATTTTATTAATTTTCGCGATTGACGATTCTCGCCAGGATGGTACCCTGTGGCGGTTGGCAGCCGTGCGCCTACGGTGCGCCGGGAAGTCATCGTAGGCCCATAACAATAAGTGCTTATTCCGGCACTTTTTAAACAGCGTGCGTTCGCAAACTATGTTGTTGGTTAATTAGACAGATACATGAAAATTTACAGAAAAGCATCATCTGCAAACGAGGAAAAAATGTGTGATAAAAATGTTGGCGGTATTGTTAAATTTAGCGTTAATGCTGTGGCCACGGTATTGGATTACCGCCTCGAAAATTTTAGCACACGAAGAGAAACAGAGCGAATGCATAATTCCCTGTTGGCGCACTTCAAGATCCCTGTTCGTTAGTGACGTCAAAAAGACACACTGCCAGTCTGCAGTCTCGGCGAGAATCACGAATATATATACTTCGCTTTGCCCATTATTTTAATCAGTACCGCTTTAGGGATCAAATCCGATCAATATATTAATCACTTTACTGAATTGACAGCCTCTGTGTCGGGCGGCTACATGAACAACCACGGCTGACTCAAATGCAGTCTATTCATTACATACCATTCAGTCCATGCAGTCTATGCAGCTTATCAGTGATGCAATCTATGCAGCAAGACCAGCACTGCATCTATGCAGTAAAAGTGATTAATATATTGATCCTTAAAGTGGTACTGAATAAAATAATGGACCAAGCGAAGTATACTTCTATATATCGTTGTCGTGCGCTTATTAGATCGGGCCTACCTACTGTGGACTTCCGGAGCGTCCAGCAGTATAAGCCAGTGCATAACAGATGCAACCGCCCGGTCTGGCAGCGCGATTTGGATGTAATTTGTCTAGTGATGTGTTTATTTGGCAATGGCCAATTCAGATAACAATTTGTCTAGACTCTAGTTGTTGAAAATTCTGCTTCGGTCTGTCGATTCTGTGAGACTGCGAGTTAATTGTTGGTTTTTAATTTGATGTCAATAAGCGATCGTCTGAATCTCGATGGGAAATAATTCTGATTGATTACACGGAATCATTTTGGTTAGAATAATCGCCAGGTAAGGTGGTGCAGGTGGAAAGACCGCTGGCAGACTGCGACATGCTGCGTTGTGCGTGCTGAGCGTTTGAGAGCTATCAACTCTACAGCAACCATCAGCATGCAGCCTGCCAGACGAGAAAACTGTTTTTCACGGCCGTTTTGTCAGTGCAGACCCTTTTGAGTATTTTGTGGACTTTCCAGCGGGTGTCGTGTTACTAGTGGCATCATCTCCGCCTCGGAAATAGTTCTTTAGTTGTTTCTTCGACAGCGAAGCTCCTCTCTACGTGCTGCGTGCTGTACGAATCTGTCAGGCGCCGTAGCTGAAGGCGCTGACAGTACTGGGAACAGCGAATAAGCAGGGCGCAATCCGAGGGAAACCGAGAAACGGCTGAAAAAGGCACCGATGGGGCAATCGAACTCCCGCAACGTCGTTAGGTCCGCGTAGGCAGTACTTACCACTGCACCACGGCGCAGTACGTTGAAATCCTTTGAAAGATTTTGTCGCTGTACGTGAGCCGCTTCTCTCCTCACAAGCCTATAACAGCACCATTTCGCAACCATGCAGTACTAAAAAATACAAGACTCATGAATGATGAATAATTTATTAATATACTCGTAATATTATTATTTTATCGCTCTAACAATAGCCAGATTCAGGCTGCTCAGTTTTGGGAATTTGTTTGATTAATTTGGTAATTGTTTGCCTTCTTGTAGCTTGGTTATATGAGGTACGAGGATGCACGCAGTCAAACCGACAGTAAATTTTTTCAGCGAGACCAACCGACAACCGTGCATATAGTGCAAGCGACTGCCAACCATCCACGGATGGCTGTCACCTGTTCCACGCATACAGTGCAAACGATACCTCCCTTTCACGGGTGGCTGTTATGTTAAAAAATAATTTGCCTGTGTGCGTGGTTGTCGGTTGGTCTCGCTGAAAAAATTGACTGTCGGTTTGACTGCGTGCATCCTCGTATCGTAACAGCGTGACAGCCCAAGTGGTCGCGGGACATTTCGTCGTGAGACATTTAGCCACACGTTTTTCGTCGCAGCCGCTAATTTGTTTTGAGACAACTCGTTTTGCACTCGTTTTGTTGTGCGGCATTTGATTGCGCGACTTTTGGGGAGTGGAAAAATAATCGACTGGTTTATGGCAACAAATAGTCATATGGCTATTTGCCATGAAAACGAGTTGTCCTTAAACGAAATGTCCGTAAAACCAAATGTCTCGCGACGACTTGTCGCGTAGCCCGTAACAGAATCATCTCTGCTGCCAGTTGGGACTGGCTCTTTCTCACTTTGTACAGGCACCGTATATCGTCTCCTGAGTGCTCAACATCTCGCACATCTAACGCTCAGCGCCCCGTGGAGGCGTGGACCGCGCGATGATCCGCCGCGCACTGGCCGGTTCCCTGTACTGGCGCCGCGGCGGCGGGCGTGCCGCGGTCGCTGTACGCCGCGGTGCGCTGCGCCGTCCCCTCCGGACCATCCCCGCAGACTGTCAGACCGTCGCAGACGGCGGCCTCCCCGTGTACGACCGCATCGTCAACCAACCGCTGCGCGCCTTCGCCGAGCTTGTCCCCATCCGCTGGCGCCATCTCGGACGCCAGGTAAGCTTTTATTTATTAATATTTATGCTCATTGATACGAGGTATTAATATTATTATTTATTATCCAATTTAAGGGTATTTGTTTAATCGATTTTAGCCGTAATTATTTTGGGAAAAGATACAATTTAAGATAAATATACGAACTGTGGGCACGCTCATGTTGTCGTTGCAGTTGACCGGCATTCCCTGTGGAATTCCCAACGGACAGGTCCCCGTCCGTCGCGAGGGGACGCAACCTGACACCGGCGGAGGAGCGCGGCCGGGCGCCTTCCTCGTCGCGTCCGTCGGCAGCCGTTTCCCGGGCGCTTTCCGCCGTCCTCCCCTCTTGAAACCGCGTTGCACGGCTGTCCGGCGCAGCTCGAGATTCATCCCGGAAGCGCCCGTTCCCCTGGCTGATGCACACGATATAATCGAGGTGTCTGGCCGTTGTTTTGCCCGGGTGTGATCCGTACTGGCTTCTATGTCCGTTGTCGTTTGCAGAGACTCCGTGAGAAACTCAGCGAGGCTGACGGTTAGTTGGGCAGCAGTGTGGCTTATCTGCTGTCATGTGCTAACTGACCTGGTTGGCGTTCGTTTTGCAGCAGACAGTGCGGGTGCGGACGCCAGCGCCGCATCCGGCTCGTTCCCGGTGGAGGAAGTGGTCGCGGCGCTGCAGCGCGACGGATACGCGGCCGTCCGCGTCCAACTGGCGTACCTGTTCAGCGTGGCCGATGAGCTGGATCCCCGGCAGTGCCTGCGGCTGGCGTCGGCTTGCCAGCTGATTCTGCTGCAGCGCCGCTCCCGCCTGAAGGTCCTGTCGGCGACGCTGACCGCCCCGGGGGAGCTGTCCGACAGTGCGCTGCATGCGCTGCGCAAGTGCCGCGACACGGAGCGGGAAGCGGTTGTCGATGTTGCGTACGGGATGAGTAAAGCTCTGTGGTACGCGGTTTCCGAGGAGCTGCGGGTGGAATGCAGTAGCGTAGTGACACCGTTAGTTGGCGAACTGTTGAACGGCAGCTATCGCGAAGTGAGTAGTCCTGTCCCCATAATCTTTCCCACACATTTCTCCTTTTGTGTATGTCGTAGGAGACGACGGGCCGCTTCCTGACCGTGCTGGACACTTTACTGTCCTCCGTCGGCCGCTTGATCAGCGGGCAGGAGCTGCCGGAAACACTGGGTAGGTGTCTGCTGTGTACGCATATCCCGTACGGCTGCGATATCGCCGCCGTCGACGTGTTGGAGTTGTTCGTGCGTTCGACTGTTTATGCTGTATAACTCGCAAGTCTGCTTGCTGCTGACTTGTCCGTTTTCTGTCGTTCTGTAGAAATGGCTAATAAACCGCCGTTAATCCGCGACCTGGACCAGGTGGAGGCCTTCGTCAACGCCCAGCTGTTCGAGACGGATGTGGAGTTCGCCGTGGGAATGCACAGCGACTACGACGCCGCGGACTGGGAGTACTTCGCCAACGAATACCGCGGGGCGTGTCGCATTCTGGTCCATATGAACTGGACGTACGCCGTAGTCCACGCCACGGACGTGCACAGCGTAGCCGCCACCGAGCTGATGGACGCGGTCAAGAAGCAGTTGAACGGCAAGAGCAAAGATTTTGTGGCTTACAGAGGAGTGGATTTGGAGGGTATTGTTGATCGGCTGGGGTGTGGCTTAGTGTACCCGAGGAAAGTGGAGGAAATACTCAAGTTTTCCAAACGGTTAACCGGGAAATTCCCCAACCCGGCTGTGATTGCGTGTGAAGTGTCTTTCACGCACGAGACAATTACGCACCTCTTCCTTAAAGCGGCTAACCTGCTGGGGCCGACTACCGATTTTCAGTATTGTATTGTCGTGAAGGTCAACGCTGAACCACCGGAGAAAGGCGCCTTCTGGGCGAACTTGTACGTTTTTCGTCGGGTCTCCCATCCCCACACCAAGCAGCCCACCACCGACGAGGAGAGCTGTCGCCCCGCGCATATAAGCAGTCATGCCGCCGAGTACGAAGTCAGCGGCGAAAAAGTGACCAATCGACAGGTGGAGACGATGACGGCCGCCGAGATCCTGCGTGTCTTCGACATGCACCTCATGTTTCAGCACCGCGCCGACGAAAGCAGCATCAACGACCGCGTGCAGTTCAACCTGGATATTTTGTATCCAGACGGATCCTCGCGGCTTTTCACGGTCTTGTTGGAAGACGATTATTTTGACGACGTCTTGGATGAATGGCAGGAGTACTGGAAGAAACAGGCTGCGAAGAAATCCCTTGCCAAAACCGGGCGACGGCGGCCAGCCAGGGCAGTCAAAGGCACGAAACGGCAAGAAGAAGGCCAAGTAGTTATGTCCTCGTACGACCCCGCTTCACGATGATTGCGGCGAGAGCTTTCCTACAGATTTTGTTTCTTTTTACCTGTTGATGTCTAACTGCAGTTTCGCACCAGTGTCATGGTAACAATACTGATGAGAATTCTTTTGACTTGTTTTCTTATTTTTATGCTTTTTTAATCGTTGGTACGAAGTTACGAACCACCGTTAACCAGTAAGAAAAATTCTAATAAACCGCTGCCAACAACATAATCAGACATTAAATTGGACAAATTCCTTTAATTCGCGCGTGGACGAGCCGTCGTCGGCCAGCGCATCGGCGATCTCCTGGCGGATGTCCTGCATATTATCGCGGTACGCCGGCTCGATTAAGAGCGTGCCGATGGCGGTGCGGATCTCTTCGGCCGGCACGATGTGCCGGAAGAACATGTCGGTGTTGCTCAGCATCAGCGCCGCGCCGCGCTTCACCAGCAGCTGCCCGATGCTGCGCTGGTCGGCGAACAGCGGCCAGGATAAAACTGGCACGCCGGCGCTCATGCTCTCCAGCGCGCTGTTCCAGCCGCAGTGCGATAAATACGCGCCCGTCGCACGGTGACTGAGGATGGCCTTCTGCGGCGCCCACGGCACGATCCAGAAATGCCGCTGCTCCTAAAAAATTTTACATTTTATTAAATTTAATTTTTATTAAATTCAATTTTTAATTTTATTAAATTTGATTTTTTAATAATTTGTACACACCTCGGTGGCGTTGGCCATCTGCTCGCGCATCTCCGTCGGCAGTTTCTCCTCGTGACCTTTGCGTAGCGACCAAATAAATGCCACGCCCAGGTCGAGCAACGCCCGCGCGATCTCCTGCAGCTGCGGTTCCGTGGGCACGGCCATCGAGCCAAACGAAATATACAGCACCGAATGCGGCTTCTGCGTGTCCAACCAGCGGAAGATCGCCGCGTCCGTCTCACTTCCGGTGGTGTTGTTCACCGGCGGAATAAACGGCCCGACGCAATAAATCTTCCCCTTAATCTCTCCCTTTTCCTCCAGCACCGCGATATCCTCCCGGTCCACCGCGCGGTACGAATTGCACACCACCCCGTCCACTTCCGGGAGGTACTTCCCCAGGACGCCCATCTCGTCCAGCAGCATCTGCGACTGCGGACCCAGGGGCTCCCCCGCGGGCGGCAGGTCCTGGAAGAAGTCCTGCTCCTCGAACGGGATCGTCTCGGTGACGTCCTTCAGCAAGAGCAGGTAGCGCAGGAAGTAGGCCGGCGGCGTGTTGAAGTAGTAGTACAGGACGCCGGGGACCCGCTCCGCCATGATGGGCGGGGCTAGGAACATGTCGAAGATGACCACGTCCACCGGGCGGTGCAGGCCGTTGTCCTGCGTAGGAATATTTATTTTAAACTTTATCTACCGGGTATACACTATATATATTATATCTGTATGTACTATACACTATATCTAGCTATGTACTATACGTATTTATATGCATCAATACATTTTGACAGCAGACTTATTAACGCTAATACAAGTGCAAGTTTACAAGCGATATTACGGATGGCAGAAGAATACTGGTGCAATATCCTCATAACAGTTTCCTTATTGCACCAGCTGTTCTATCAAATCTCTCCGCATCGAGTAGTTTTTATTAGATCCCCATTCAGCTTTCAGAAAATTTTATACATTATATACATTAGATGCATTACAGTGAAACCTCATCGTACGTACACCCCGAAGAAACGTACACCCCTTTATTACGTACGAAAAATTCTGTACCGAATTACGTCGTAGACTAAAGTACAGGGGGTAACCTCCACGTGACGTACACCTCAGCGTTGCGTACACGTACACTTAATGTCTGTACCGCCTAAGCATTTAACTGTACGCAGTCACCTCGTGAATGCGTACACTATTGTTTCGGAACTGGAGATTTTAAACTTTTTGATGGTAATGTTGTGAAAATTCAAAGAAGCAAAGAAAACTACGCTCGAAATTTCTAGATTTTTGTATCCTGACAAGCTAAATATTTCCATTGAGTTATTCGCCCAAATACCAGACGCATATCGTCTTATAGAGAAAAATCAGCTCTATTAAGTAGTATTTTTTATAGCGGGGTGGTTTTTATACTTACTGTTTAAAAAACATCTAAAGTTAGTATTGCGAATCGTCCAGTGGCGTGTCTGTGCGCACTTCACAGATGCCGCCCATCACGCATCCGAGATACCGATCTTCGGTGAAAACTGAGCGCTGGCCCGCCTGTACGACATCTACGTTAGCAATACAGAATTTTTTATTTGCTTTAGTTCTGAGTTTACAAAGGCTTCACAAAATAGATTGTTGGTATTTTTACGTAGATTTAAGGTTCAAAATCATCAATATATAGATCTGCTAATTTTTAGAACACAAACTAAAATTACACCGCGTTCAGGTGTTCGGTGCTCAGAAGATACAGCGTACCGTATACCAGCTACCACTGAATCCGGATATGGTCAGCCAAGCTGATAACCACGCGATGCAGCATATCCGCGATTAGCGCTGCAGAAGATCGGTATCTCCGATGCGCGATGGGCGGCATCTTTGAAGTGCGCACAGACACGTCACTGGACGATTTGCAATACTAATTTCAGATGTTTTTTAAACGATAAGTATAAAAACCACCCCGCTATAAAAAATACTACTTAACAGAGCTGATTTTTCTCTACAAAACGGTATGCGTCTGGTATTTGGGCGAATAACTCAATGGAAATAATTAGCTTGTGAGTAAGGTTTTGATAAATTTTTCTGCAGAAAGTGTCCGAGAGAATCTGTTTACATACACACAGACTGATGCAGTTTTGTATGTAAACTAATGATATCCGTGTATTTTTTGCAGTTCGCAGTATGTGCAGAGCATTTCGCAGTGGGGCACTGCCCCTAGGTCTGCAGTCACCCCCCAAGGGGGCTGGGGGTAGCTAATTTGAATTATGTACACCCCTGAATTACGTACGAAATTTTCCGTACGGAGGTGTACGTATTTCAGAGGTTTCACTGTATATGCATATATACAGTAGTATTTTATTTCGCAATATGTACAAAGTGAGCTTTGTTCAACAATTATAATCAAATGAAGAATTTGCCCAATTTGCGTGAGAAGGGACTGTGCACAATTGTATACTATAGGTATCTGTTGTGTATATATCTATATCTGTATCTATATATATATATGTATTTATATAGTAGACGAGATACATAATTATATATCGTAGGTGTATTATATTATAATATGTATTTATATATAAAATTGTAAGTACTATATCTTATGTATATGTTTAATATACACAATTATACTCGTAGGTAGCTATATATTATATGCATTTGTATATCTATATATCTTTATTTTATATTAATTACGATATAAGTATCTTTATATGTACTAAACGCTTACACAGACCAGCATGTATCACCTGGCCATTCTGAGTAAGCGCGGCCACCTCCACCATGAGGTTTTGGGCGCCGGGGAGGATGTGCTTGACGGCCATGTCGTGCGCCGCCTCCCACTCCTCCACGTTGACCGTCGCGTCGGACGCCACGCCGTCGTCGATGGGGAAGAGGACGACCGGCTCGTCCTCGCCCAACGCCGTGAACTCGCGCTGCCGCATGCGGTCGGCGGTGAAGCGCGAGACGGCGAAGGTGACGTGGTGGTAGCGGGACAACTTCCGGCATAATTCCAGTAGCGGCGTGGTGTGTCCGTACGCCGGATACGCCACCGCCAGGATGTGCTTCTTGCCTTCTTGCAGCTCCATGGAATTATTATTATTATTATTACTATTATTATTATCCGGGCAGTATTGAGTTTTTTGGATTAATAGGCAACTCATACACTTTTTTCTGGGGAATACTTTGAGAAAAAAATGCTAGCCAACGCCGACTGCTGCCGCGATAACGCCGACGTACCAACAATGAGTGAACGTGAGCCAGATCGGAACATATTCAAGAAATTTCGGGCGAGCGCCAACAGTTATCTGTTTAAACAGCTATCAGCTGCCGCTTAAGATAATGTCTGTTCATATTGTCCGTTGATCATTGTTGTTACTGCTGACATTCAGTGGGTATGATAAGCGGATAAGCAGCGTCAGTATCGCCACAGGGCAGAGTGTGTTCGTGGCAGCCCGTGCAGCTCGCTGTCCCTCGTTCGCAGCCGGTAATTAACCGGCTCCTGCTGCTGTTTGATAAAACCCCGCAAATCTTCCTCCCATTCGCATTCTATCTCGGCGAAGAAGAATTTATTCAGATCCACCGTGAACTGCCGCGACGAGCCGTCGGGATAGTTAATCTCCAGCGGAAACTGCACCGGCTTTGTGTAGTTCTCCGCGTCGGCATGGTGCTTCCAGACCAGGTCGATGTCGAAGACACGCCGAAGCTCCTCCGGAGACATGTCCTGGACGTCGGCATTGCACAGCCGGACACCGTCGACCTCCAGACCTCGTGACCTTTCGCTCCCCGCGGCCGCCCGGTCTCGGTGGTTGGCGCGAGGGGCCGCGACGCGGCGGAAGAGGTATAGTGTGGCCCAGAAGGGGTCGTCGTCCCGTTTCCGGGGACTGACGTTGACCGACACGCAGTACTGGACGCTGGTGGTCGGGCCGAGGAGGTCGGCGATCTGGATGAACTGCTGCAGCCGCGATTCGTGCCGGTAGGACACGTGACAGGCCACGGGCTGCTTAGGATTCGGAGGGATTTTCTTGCCGTCGAGGTCGAGATAGGCTTCCAGGTAGATTTCGCACAGGAGAGGATACATGTCGCCGGCGCCCAGGCGGTCGGCCACCTTGAACGGCACGCGCGACACCAAGAAGTAATTACGATCGTACGTCGGATCCATTGCGCGCTGCACGGCGTTGCACACCAGCGAGGAGGCGGTGCTGTGGACGTTGCCGGGGCGGGCCACGGCGTACACCCAGCCGCAGTGCAGCATGACGCGGCAGCGGCCGCCGTGATGGTCCGCGCAGTGCACCCAGTCGGCGGCGGGGTAGTCGCTGTGCTGGCCGACGGCAAAGGTCACGGCGGGCTCCAAGCGCCGGCTGTCGATCAGCGCCGCCACCGCGTCCAGTTCACGTTGGAAGACCGGCGTTTCACTGATTTCTGTGGAAATGCGGAAGGAACTCGGGATTGTGAAAAGTTTCTTATGTTTTCTTAGGTTTCTTAGATTTCTCCCATACTGACCGACAGTCTCGAAGAATTCCCCAGGCAATCCGGCTAGAAGACGAGCCGTCACCGATATCGTCAAGTCCAGCGCCGACAGCAAGTCGGACACATCAGACTGCAACACGAACGCATCACGCTGTTCAGCCTGATTTGGTGAACCGGCTTCCTAATGCTTACTGTATCGCGTGTCTGCAGCCGAGCCAACAGCGGCGTGAGGATACCGTCCAACTCCGTGAGCAACCCTTGTGGAACGATCTGCAATAGGAAACGCTGCAGGAGGTCCGCCGCGTCCTCCACGATCCGCGCCGCCACGTCGCGGCACCGCTGCAGCGCGTCGGTCGCTGTGGCGGACAGCTCCCCCGGGGCGGTCAGCGTGGCCGACAGGACCTTGATGCGGGAACGCTGGTCCAGCAGAATCAGCTGGCACACCGACGCCAACAGCACGCGCTGCCGCGGCGACAGCTCGCCCGCCCGCGGGGCTGGCTCAACTGCCGCAAACCCTCGCGCACGCGCGGCTCGCCAGTGCCGGCCGTGGCGCACTGCAGCGTCAACATCAGCGCGTCCACCGCTTCGGACGCGGCGGACTCCTGCACGTCCGCCGCGACCACCTCGCCGCCTTCTCCATCGGCGATATCGCTGCCTTTCAACGGTGGCAAGAGTCTGTCTAGTTTGGCTTTTAACTCGTCCACTTGCTAGCAAAATCAACGCGATCAAACAAATTGTGCCCGCAGCAATTGGTCACCTCCTCCAACACACCTGGATGATTTTCTCCGCATCAACGGGAAGTGTCAGCCGCTGCGGGGCGGTGCTGCGAGCAGAGACTCCCCGCACGCTACCGCCACGGGTTGTCAGTGCGGTCGGCCGCCCTGGAGCGGCGATGTGAAGGCTGTTAAAGGAAGGCAGGAAACAGCCAGCGCCGGCGCGGTGGGCTCCAACGGGCATCGCATAGCGCGCCGTCGATGTCGGCGCTAGTCGGCAGCTGCAGGATTCCCGCCGGGGGACCAGCGTCGCGCGTCGCCATCCAGCGGCAGTGGCCAGGGGGCAGCCGCCGCGACGGGACACGGCGGTGACGGCACGCAGTCCACCAAGCCTATTCATTCTGCTGGCCATACTACGTGTGCGAGCCCCGAGGGCGGGCGCGGTGCACACAAACCTGCGCAGGGCAGAAACATTTGACAACGTCACAACGGTCGCTGCGTAACTGCGCTCTAACTTCTACGTATCTGGACACCTAGTGGCTGGTATTTTACCTTGTCACAAACAGCAGCAGAGCCAGTATGCAGCAGAGAACGGTGTGGGAATGGATGCTGCTGCACGTCTGCACTGGCAGCTACAAATTCCACTAGACACACTGACGCAGGTACTCGTCGATAGCTGCAGAAACAAGCACTCAATGCTCCGCTATGAACTGATCAACTTGCACTGCATGGTTGACAAGCAGGGCATTGGAAGCATACAACATCTAATCACCAGGCCAAAATTGTTCGGATAGAAAGTATTTCTGCTCAACTGGAATATTGGATGGATACAAGAAAAAACGCAGAGACAACATACAAATTCTGCACTGTCCTCCATAATGAGAAGTGCTTGCGATGTTAATCGGCAATGCGTTAGTTAGTTATGGACTGATGTGAGTCACAGTACTTTACTGGGCAAAAAGCTTTCAAAATAACAAACACTACTAAAAAACAATGCTTAAAAGTTCAAACGATTCACATTTAAATTTTACAACGAAGCAGACCACAGATGACAATTTGACAAATCCACCATCGTCAGTAAATGAACTGTTCTGCTATGGGAACGGTAAACGCCTCCTGTGTGCAGTTTACCATTAAAGATGTCGTGCACAGCGGCAGCCACCCTTGCAGTTCGCAACACAAGTCGCACTTAATTAAATTAAGTCGTACTTAATTAAACTTTGGCAAATGCTAAATTAGCAAAGCGGATGTACAGAACAATAGTGCACATGGATGGGAACGTTTCATTAATTTTGTTCACGGGATAACGGAACCGCACTGCACTTTTTCATATGCTTTCAAACGATTATTTTACTTTCGCCCTTCTCCCTACCAGGGCACATTTCCGGAGTGAAAATTCAGACAAATCTTATACATTTCAGAAAGTAGCATACGAGTACATATACAGTAACATACAGAGTACTTGTACAAACGAGTACAATACATTACTTGCTGTTAAGCCTGAAAATCCAGATGCACGTGTTCTGCACATTCCTTTGCATTTCTACTCGAATCGGTTGATGTGGCCTAAATGTTTACATGATCCCAAAATATGTTTATGTTGGACCAAACTTACTTGAAGTCCCCTTGGAGTTAGTTCTCTGCTCTTGTGCCGTAACGGCACTTTACAATTGAACACACATCGCATAAGGTAGACAGTCCTGTCTGTAAGTGTACACCATCGTACCAGTACTCGTACTGATATTCATCTTTAATCATTAATGTCACGCCAAACCGTGTACGACGCGTTTCTTCATGCGTACCCAGACCTGCTTTGTCCCCAGCTGAAGGATCTGCATTACCTCGGTGCGCCACTCCACGATGATGCGGTTGCAGGCGCACTCGTCAGTGCTACGGAGGTAATCGCCCGAATGACGGAGCGGCTAAATCTTATACCGGCCCACCAGGCTCTGTACTTGTTAAGATGCAGCATGGGCACAGTAAAGCTGATCTATAAACTGCGCGCCAGCCGATGCTACCAGCAGAAAGCCCTGTTAAAAGCATTTGACGATATCATTCGGCAAAGCTTGACTAGCATTACCAATGTCAACATTACTGAAGACATATGGATGCAGGCATCTCTCCCGATAATAGAAGGTGGTCTCGGAATTCGAAGCGTCGAAAAGCTTGCCCTTCCGGCCTTTCTGGCCTCTGCTTATTCGGTGGCTCCATTAACATCGGAAATTATCGAGTTCCAACCACAGATCTACTGTCGTGATGCTGCTGCAGAATGGCAAGTAACCCAACAAGACCTCCCACCATGACGCGCGACCGGTCCAGAAGGTATGGGACAATCCTATTGTCCAAAACACCGTTGAACGATTACGAACGGCAGCTGGGAACGACATCTCCGAACAGGCAAGATTGAACGGTGTTAGCACGAAAGAAAACGGCGCATGGTTGGTGCGCTCGGCTGCCTCCCTTGGCAACCTCCTTACAGACTCAGCAGTACGAATCGCCGCTGGTTTACGGCTTGGAGCACCGATCATCACCCCACACCGCTGTGTATGCGGTGAGTGGGCGGATGCCCGCGGTTACCACGGCTTAGCTGCAAGAAAAACCGCGGACGAATCCTACGCATAAATGCCTGAACGCCATTGTGAAGCGCAGCCTCGCATCGGCCGGCTTTGAAAGCGAACTAGAGCCACAAGGTATCTTCCCTACAGACAGCAAGCGCCCAGACGGCGTTACCTTGACACCATGGGAGAGGACGGATGTTGGCATGGGACGCAACGTGCGTCAATACAATGGCCATATCGCACATCGTCGCGACATCCGCACGAGCGGGAGCAGCAGCAGCACAGGCCGAGCAGGGCAAGATCGAGAAATATCGCGATATCGGCCAGGACTACCTATTCCGTGCTCTGGGCTTTGAGACGCTCGGACCACCCGGACCGGAAGCTGTCCGAACAATAACGGAATTCGGACAGAAAATACGTCAGGAAACCGGCGAAAAACGAGCCACGGAATATCTTCGCCAACGGATCAGTATCGAAATACAGCGAGGAAATGCTGCATCGATCATGGGGACGGCGCCGATGGGAGCGAATTTAGACCAAATTTTCTCTGTGATTAGGCCGCCGCTGTCGATTGATGCTTGATGAGTGATAGTTTCCGAAGCTTTTGTTAAAAGTGCTCGTGTTGTAATTTGTAATAGAAATTTAACATCGTGACACTGCATAGAACTAATTACAAGAATAAAGTACGAAACTTGTAAAAAAAAAAAAAAAAAAAATTAATGTCACCATCCAATACAACTCGCAACATAAGCTATACTTGTACTGCAGATACTGAATGTAGCTTACACTTGGGAATAAACGAAACAAATAAATAACTAAGCTAGAAAACCGACAACAAAAGATACCCAGTACGCAGACACATCTGGAAGTATTGCACACTTGTCCATGTATGGCTGAACGAGGGCCTGGTGATGAATTACAGTCTATGTTCGCCAGTACTGCCAGTGGACAAAATGGGTGCGCGGCAGCCCGTGCAGCTCACTGTCCCTCCCGCGCAGCATGCGGTTAGCCGGCAATGCCTGCCTTTCCAAACGAGTGCGGTAATCCTCTTCCCAGAAGCCCTTCAGCCGCGGGAAGAAGTCATTCAAATCGACCGTCAAGGGCCGTGACGATCCGTCGGGATACTGCAGCTGCAGCGCCAACTGCACCGGCTGCGTGTTATTATTATTATTATTATTATTATTAGTCGCGTCCACGTGGTGCTTGGCGACCAGGTCAATGTCGAAGACGCGTCGGAGATCCTCCCGCGACATGGCCTGGACGTCGTCATTGCACAGCCGGACACCGTCGGCCTCCAGACCCCGTGACCTTTCGGTCCCCGCGGCCGCCCGCTCCCGGTGGCTGGCGCGCGGGTCCGCGACGCGGCGGAAGAGGTACAGCGTCGCCCAGAAGGCGTCGTCGTCCTTTGTCCGGGGACAGATGTCGACGGCGATGCAGTACTGGACTTTGGTGCTCGGTCCGAGGATGTCGACGATCTGGATGAGCATCTGCAGCAGCGATTCGTGCCGGTAGCACACGCGGCCGGCGATGGCTTCCTGGGGATTCGCAGGTTTCTTCTCGTCGAAGACGGGGACCAAAGGGTCGGCTAGCACGTCGCACACCAGTGGGTACACGGTGCCGCCGCCCAGGCGGGCAGCCACGTTCAGCGGCACAAAACACAGCATTAGCATCTTGTTATAAGCGGGATTGTTCAGCGCGAACAGCAAGGAACTCCACAACTCTCCGACCGTGCCGCCGTAGACCACACTGCCCATGCGGGCCATCGCGTACACCCAGTTGTAGTGAACCATCACGCGGCCGGTGCCGCGGTAGTTGTCCGTGAAATATTCCCAGTCGGAAGCGGGATAATCCGTGTACTGGCCGATGACGAAATTCACGTCGGGATCGAAAAGACCGCTGCCGATCAGCGCCGCCACCTCGTCCAGCTCGCGGATCAGGGCCGGCGTCGCACTGATTTCTGAGAAAAAAATACCGGAGTAACTGATTAATATTAAGTAATTTCATGACATACTCTGTATTAATTTTGTTACTATTCTGAAATGTTCTACTCTTTTCTATACAGTAATTTTGTGTAATCTGTTTCTTAGTTTTTAATAGTATGATTAGTATTTGTAGTGTTTGCTATACTGGTACTATTATATGTGCTGACCTAAAGTCTCGAAGAATTCCCCCTGCAGACCGGCAAGCAGACGCGTTGCCACCGATATCGACAAACCCAGCGTCGACAGGAAGTCGGACCCGGCAGACTGCAACACACACGCATCACGCTAATCAAGCCAAGCATGATTGTGCAGTGCACGACGAATCTACTGGGTAGTGCTTACGAAATCCCGCGTCTGCATCCGATCCAACAGCGGGGTGAGGATAGCATCCAACTCCGTGTGCAGCTGCTGCGGAAGGATGTGCGTCAGGAAACGCTGCAGGATGCCCGCCGCGTCCACCACGACTCGCTCCGCCTCGTCGCGGCAACACTGCAGCCCGTCTCTCCCCGTTGCTGACAGTTCCCCGGGGGCGGTCAGCGTGGCCGACAGGACCTTGATGCGGGAACGCTGGTCCAGCAGAATCAGCTGGCACACCGACGCCAACTGCACGCGCTGCCGCGGCGACAGCTCGTCCGCCTGCTGGCTGAACTGCCGCAGAGCGTCGCGCACTGCGGCGTCGGCCGTTGTCGTCGTTTCACTTTGCAGTGTCCACATAAATTCGTCCATCGGTCCAAACTCGGCGGTCTGATGGGCGGCGTCATATTCCGCAGTGCTTTCTACAATATGCGCACCAAACGTTCAAAGGGAAGCAACTACCCTAGGTTTTGCGATCGCGCACTGGAGATCATTGGTTATTTGGCAGGCTAGAGTCTCGTTCGTTATCGGAATCAACCAGACTACAAAGTCGGAGAAGGACTGCAAAATTGTGCCGCGATTCAAGAATCAGGTTAGCTGAATTAGCAAACAGGGCGTTACCGCAGCATATCCAATGCGCATACAGCGCCAGGCTCCAGCACTGCGTTCGAACAGACATACACTGGTTGGCGCACAATGCGTTCAACTAGCGTCAACACCAACCTGTTTCGGGCGGCAGGAGACGGTGCAGTTTGGCTTTCAACTCGTCCACTTTCTACAAAAAAGTTACTGTGGTAGTCATAATACCTAGTGACTGAAATGTACTCGTGATTCCCAATAAAATACCTCCAAGATTTGGACCGAATCAGCTATAGTTGTGTGGAGTGGGGAGGCGGCACCCTGGCCAGCCATTCCGCGGACGCTACCACCACGGGGCGTCAACTGAGCCAGACGCCCTGGGCAGGCGACGTGCGGAGGAATGCCACTGCCCAGGCTGGGCCAGCGTTCTGTCCAATTACTGCAAGCCAACGTCAGTCAATACTCATTAACAGGGTCTCTAGCAGACAAAATATTTTGATCTCCGCAGTGATTTCTGTAAAGACGGACGCTGAGGAAGCTAGCGTACCTGTGGGCAGCCGTGCAGCGACGGTAAACACGACTGCTACGACCCATCGACCCGATGATGCGCGCCCCGAGGGCGGCCCTCCTGCACGCGGGCAGCATCTGCTGGCCGTTGGCGATGTGGACCTGCTGGTCTCTCCCACCTGAATCTGCGCGATACAAGTCACGCAGTAGGCTCCAGTGGTTCTTCACATGGTATAAATGAAGTTAGTCAGCAGCTCCATACAGATGGAAGATGCAGGTTGTCGAAAGCAAGCTGCAAGATGCAAAGCCCACCTTTGTACAGTAATACGCAGGTAGTTTAGATCAAGCACTGCCCGTCACTGGGCCGCCCAGAGCATACGAAACCAACGTCCACGGCTAGCGACAAATTCCCCACTAGAAAAATTAACTATCAACTTGTTCCCTCCGAAACATAGAATCAGTTTATTTTAGAGCGTGCTCTGGAAACTGCAAGGTACGATGCTGGGCACTGGCAGCTGCACCAACCGCCACGCTGCAGGAGCATAAGTAGCAGCAGAAAACGCCACTGACAACTGTTCCTGCCTGAGCATTGAACAAACAGCAAATGACAACTTTTACTGGGTAAAAGCTAACAATATAACCAAGAGGTGCATTCGCGCGACGCTAATTCACAGATTTTGTTTCAAAACTTCAAAGATTTCAACGCGCATCAATAATGGTGTTGAGTCAACAGCCGCCAGAGAGCACATGCAGCATGCTGATGGGCAAAATAAAAGTAATGTATCTGTAAGCCCTTCTTCGATGCGGTGCGCCATGGATAATGTCAGTCACCGTGGCAACCGCCCGTAGCTTTCGACGTTAGTATAATTATTGTTCTTTTTTTTACAGTTTGATAGTTTCGTTCGGTTCCAGCTTCCATGTGATAAATGTGACTTGTGATAAATATATGAGACGACTTGAGACAGATCGTTTAATATATTTTTTACGCAACAATTATTAAATTGTCTATTGCCGAAACCAGCACTTATTGGCTAACAAAGCTAAACGTTAAAGAACTCCCACGCAACGCGCTCCAGAAAAAGAACATTTTTAACGAAATAAAAAGGGTCCAATTAAACTACTTTAACCACCTAACATTTCGGGCAAATTCCAGCATATCGGCGCTAGATTCATGGTTTTAGAAAGCATCTAAATCTAGTGAAACCAGCAATATAACCGCTAGCTATTGGAGTCCTATAAAGTATAAGCGGTGTAAAATTAGTTAATTATATCAGTAGTAATGCGATACTGTATAAGTAGATATGACTCATCAATTATTTAAAAATGGCGGCGCTTACGTCATAAACTGGAGTTGGGAGCTACACCTTCCAGCTGTAATTTCCGGTTGGACTTTATAACTATAGTTCCTAGATCTACTTTATGAATCAGTAAGTTTGTACACTGCATATACTTTACAACTGTAGATACAGTGCAATTTACATGGAACGTATGGGTCTGCGCCTTTATTCATACCTCTTTAATTAGAGTTACGCTGCGATGTTTAATGCAACTTTTCTATTGAGGTAACTATTAAAGAAACAATGTTCAAAGAAAACAAACACAATACCCAAACATAGTCTTGCTAAGATGGCTCGCATTGTGTGCAAAAAGAACTTCTGTGAGGCAGCAATAGGCTCCTGCATTGTCATGATGCTGATTCTAATAATATTGCTGGAAGCATTTTTTGGAATTAGCCATAATATTAAAACTATTATTAACAACTGTACGGTACTGGAAATTGAAGGCCTATTCTCCGGAAACATCACCCCAGGGACGAGTATGAAATTCGGTGTCGACAATTCGACGTTTTGAGTAGGTAAGTCTGAAGCGCTTATTCATTTCCGTAGACAGAACCTCCAACTTGCGCTTATTTCGCGTGATGTTGAACGGATAATTAACCATAATATCGTTTGGTTCATCTGGCGGTGCAAGGCTTTCCAGTAGCAATTCCTTCAAACTTTCCAGATTCAGCTGTTTTCTGGCCTGCCGCGTTAACGTAAATCCCTTCACTTTTCTTGTTTCGTGACCAGTGTTGGTACGATAAGCGTAGCTTTTAGGCCCTATAAAGAAAAGTAATACACACGTATAGTACTCAGGAATAATTAATTATTGGTAGTTAATGGTGTACCAAGCGCCACAAATTCTTCTATGTGCTCGTTAGGTTCCAGCGATGATGACAAGTCGCCAAGACAAGTTCCCGTTGGTGGGTCAGGCAGTTCGTTTTTGTGAACATAGAAAATGCTATCTGCGAACCAAAACCCTATGAATAAAGAAGGCAAAAACAAAATCACTATTATTACTGCATACCGGTATCATGATATAGTAGGCGGTCCCCAACCATCTCCATAAATTTGAGGAGATGCAATCGTGCATAAGCAGTAGTGAAAGCCGCAATGACAACATTGGTTTTCTTATTCGTTACTATATAATCCTTCTTCAAACGGTATTGTACGGCCATGACTTCATCCGTAACCAAGTCGAATCCAGCAACTTCGTAATTATTTGAAAATAAAAGTCATGAAAGACCTCTTTCTTCTCCACCATTGCCGTGTTGAACGGTCTTCCTGCTGCCCAAACTTTCCCCAAAAAAAAAACAATTCATCCATAGTTAATTAATTAAGTCGGGTTTGGCAGCTTCACGATTCTTACCAAAACTACTATTCAACATAGAGCTTGCAAAGCGCTCTGAGCATCATTTTAGCAATATTATCTTTATCCAGCTGAATATTTTCTTTAACAAGGAATTCTTTAACATAAAGTCTTTCTCCTCGTTTGTGTGACAGTTTGAAGGATAGCCAGACGCTTCAGTTTTCAACTTCAAAAACAAGTCAATGTACTCCCTGAATAGATATTGCATTTGCTCGGGTAGTGCCACGCAGAATAAATTTTATCGATGCGGTAGGCAACTTCTAACGCTCGATGAATTTCCGGTGTACACCACGTTCCTTCCAGAGCCCTATCGTCATCCTCATGATCACAGGGAGAGTTAACACGCTCTTTCACGCACCTCGCGCATAACGGGAATGTTAGCTTATCCGTTCGGTAGGGCAGCACTGGAAGGAATAAAGACGGTGGTGGAATAATGCGACATTTTACCACTGCAAATATTTCTTCCACTGGTGGAAAGTCGTTAATAATAACAACCGACGGTCCAACGGGGTAGGGCAAATTTTTGTTGATGTATGGATATTCGCTAATAACGTCAAGTGAATAAATTTTCTCCCCTGGTCCGCATTTATGGTAAAGCTTTATTGCATTTGTTCGACCACCAGTAAAGGCATCCCGCGGATGCAACGGCTCCATTACGTTGGCGAGCTCAGTTAGCTTTCGAAACTCAAAGTCAGATGCTAATTTCATGTCGTAATCGTGCTCCCAAATCGATACAATCGTGTATCCCAGAGTTTTTATTGCATCAAAGCGCAAAAAAGTCGCTTTCTGAACCTCTTCCATTGGTTTACCAAGAAACGGGTGCATTGTGCTTTTCGTGGTACAGTCGCTGCAGCCGTGCCACATACATCCTAGAGACAGAAATATTTTGTCGGTAAATGTCAAAGAATTAAACGTATTATCCTGTGACAGACCTAAAAATTCGTAAACTGTTTTGGTTTCTGAATGGAAGCCATCAACGGTCCAGTGCCCGATTCGAAATTCTCTTTCCAGTTTTGTATCGTTATCCAGTTCTATCGATCGTAGCCACCGTTCTGCTTTTACAGATGATTTCTTTCCCTGTCCTGGTGGACCGATTAAAGCAATTTGGCTCTTCTTCAGCATTCGCGCTCCCCAAAAATAATTGCACATTCCAGGGGTTGTAAGGCCAGAAGCAAATGGACATAATCCACCAGATGCTTGTTGGAAAAGAATTCGAAATTTTTCACATGCTTGTTGTAGTACGAGAACGTCCTGGGAACAGTACCTGTGAAACAGTTGCATATAGCGAGTGTATTATTAATAAGAAAAGCTCGGACATACTTGATGAAATGTGCATTAAAATCAAACTGATTGTGATGACGACGTCGTTCCTTGCGAAACCATTTTATGAAACGTTTCCGCTCACATCTTTTCATGGATTGGTAACCGTAGTCATGCCGATCTGGCCAAGGGATGATCTTGTTCCAATTTTCGGGTTTATTCAGCTTGTGTGGAAAATCTCCTTTAGTTTCTTTACAAACCAAACGCCTTCGCGAAATTCCTTAGTGACGATGGCACGTAGTTCATGGAATCTCGAAATTTTATTTTGAGTTTACTGAAATCCATTTGCATAATTTTACTACCATTAAAAAATCAGTGGGTGTGGAATAACACCATTTTTTTACTAAAGAGTTTAACAGGAAAAACCCGTCGAACCCTGAAATACAAACCACATCAATCAGTTATGAATGAGCTGCTGCTGCTGTTGATTTCGATATTTTTTACCTTTAAATTATGCGCAATAAAAGTGTATCCCCGAAAACGTTCGCTGAAAATGAAATCCCCAAGAGCATTTGCGATGTCGCCATTAATGTTTCCATCCTAAGGGAGCACAAACTTCTCATCTTTCGTGGCGATGACTGCTAGATTCACTCGGAATTCACCTGTGTCATCTTGGTAGGTTTCGAGGTCGAAGTATGCAAATTTTTCGTTTAGATGTTTCGCTTTCTCGTTATCCGTAAGTTCGATGGGCTGCATATAGCAGACATGGCTTTCTTCCGGCATGTGAAAGAGTGAACAGATTGCGCAGTACACTTCACCACAACGATGTTGCTGATCGTCAATATCCAGTTCGATTTCCGGTTCGTCTTCGTCGTCATCGCAGTTGTCAGCATCTCTTCTGTTATCTCGAGGTGCGTCGTAATTTGTCCGCATTCGACGTTTTACAAGAGAAACGAAAAATTTGCATATTTCACATACAAAAAACTTTGAACAGATGGGACTGGTTCCAGACTTGTGCGTTTCAAAACACTCCTGGCCATAAAAGTCGCGATTACATTCCGAACAAGGTATTTTTGAATCTTTTTGCATCTTGCACGCTGCAGACAGACATTGGTGACATTTAAACTCACACCGGTGGTCTTCTCGATGATTGTAGCCTTTCATGTAACGGTAACAGTAGTAGTGATGCTCGAAGTAAGCCGGCAAAGATGTCACAACATCAAAATGCCGGTCATGATGGAGCAGCATAATCCGCTTCTCAGCATAAGCGCCACAGTAGACAACTGAGTTTCCGTGATCGACAGATACTACAATAATCTGATAATTTGGCAGAACTTCTTCAAACCGAGGAACGTCTTCCAGGCTGTATTCTCTATTTGGCAACCGGGCAGCCCGCAGCAATTCTCTGGTTTTTTCATCCTGCAGTTTCTTGGTTCGGTAGAGCTTTGTATAAAATTCTTTATCGCCATCCGCATGCGCTTTAGCGACCACAATTGCTCTAGCCATACATAAACTGTCCGAGTTTCGAATCTGGGTGATGCACCGTTTTTTGTCCAAAATTTGCCGCAACAACTGGGAGACGTTCTTTCTCCATGAGCCAAATGGTGTATCTGTATGCTGCACTGACAGTTCAAAAGACTCGTCCAATAAAAACGCTTGATTTGAATTCAAAATTCTTTTGATTGTCGTCATCCATCGCTTGATAGTCAACTGATCGCGTTGAATAGGTGGCATCCAAATAGGGTACTGCAGTGCCGCCTGGTATATGCGAATTCTCACCAAGTTGTGCGCAGGTATTTTGGAAATCACCGTTTCAAGGATATCTTTCAACAACAGAGTTATGGTCTTTACTGCGTACTTGAACGATAAATTTTCAAGGCCGTTTATCTGACACTTATAAGTCTCAAATAAAACTGAAAACTTTTGCGAATATTTGGCTCCGGTTTTTTCCAACTCATAATGTTCTTTAATATCATACAAATCTGGATCAAGCTCTCCTAAACGCTGCGCAGGTACACCAGCCGGAGCTGCAGAATAATTATGATCAAGAAGCGCGTAGTTATGATTAAAGAGAGCACTATCTGCAAATTCAGTTTCCGCATCGGTCTCAAGGGCAGTTGACGGTATTGACGGATCAGGAATTTGTGTCATGGTGTAGAAAAACAACCTGATGGAAGTACTTTGCTATTCGCAGAAATCCAGCCTCATATAAGCAGCTTATTTATATGTGTAAGCAAAATTCCGTACAGCATTTTATAGTTACATCGGCCAACAAAATTTAATGACTCATTCGATGAAACGTGCTGGATGCGATAATATTCGCAACACGTTTTTATTAGGCGCAATCAGCGTTCGAGGAGGAAACACAGCGCCACAGCGGATGCAACATCTATTTTCTTGGTCATCTGCAATAATATAGACCACCTCGAAATCTTTGTAAAATAGCGAGATATATATTAACGCATACCCCAGTAAGAATTCTGATCTGGTCTTTTGCTGCGGCAGTGTCGTTGCAGTCGATGGGTAGCTCTTTCTTCAGGAATCGGCATTCGGCAAAGCAGGCATTTCGTACGGCTTTTTAAATAGTAGTCCAGCATCCAATTAGAGTACGATTGCGCTTTGTTAGGACTGTAGCACTTGTCGTTACTTAGAGCAGCAAAACGCGGACAGCCAAGTGTATCAAGATTAATGACATCAGATTTGAGCAGTTGTTGAAGAATGAGACACTTTTGTCCCCCTTTTGCATAGAAAACGACAACGGCAGGATCATCAACATAGCGGAGATAATTTTTAAACGCTCGATTTAACTGATGTTCTAACTCTGAGAAAGCTTTATCGAACACAGCATCATTATCCGAAGAACAAATGCCAAATTTATTAACAATGTAATTGTTTGGCGCTAGCGCAAAAGTGGTATAATAAAGGCAATAAAAATTCGACAGAACTTATTGCAAGTGACGTAATAATTGGCTTCCCATGAAGCGTATACCACTTAATGTCTACAACAATATGGTAAACCATTCTTTGAACAAAACAGAATCAGAAATCGGTAGTTTCCGCTGCGTAATGAGATGAAAAAACTGTTATATTTGTAAGTTACGCACTGACAAAATATTTTATATATATAGCATCAAAACGGATGCAGCGCAACGTCACGCTGTGGTGGCAAAATACTTTGGTGCACAGCAAATTATTTTTTACTTCTATACAAACAGTACGTGAAAAAACTGGCGTTGGTGACGTGACTTTATTGCATTAACTGGCGGAAAACAGACTGTGTAAGCATAGAGTTATCACGGACTACAGTTTTCAAACTGAAATAATAATTAACATAAGCACAAACCATTCGATCATTCGAAGATTTGCTACTGGTAAATAAATGAATAAGAGAAGTAAACGACTCGCCGGAGCATCGTTTTAAAATAAAAAAGCAGCAGTACTGTCCACACGGTACTCCATTCCATTTGTAAACGATGCGCTTGCGAAATAACTCTGCCATCGTTCTTGCAAAAATTTTCAATGTGGCGGCCGTAGTAATATGGTTCATGTCCGTAGGAGTCAAAATATTCCAATTGTCCTGGTACAGCCTGGTAGAACGCCAGCCAATGCGAGCCAGGTTTTGCAGCTTCGTCAGTATTGACAACACATGCCCATGGCAGTTTGGCTGGAAGCGAAGATGGTAACATGTTCGCAGCAAATACACCAATGAAAGCGTCTCGTGTCACCGCGCTTGAACGTAATACATGGCTGATTTCAGCGGTGTCCATTGTAGTGCCAGTCTGTATACAACAACAGCAACGTTAAAAATATTCTTTTTTGATTTTGTCCTGTAAGGTACGGGCGACCGAGAGCGCGAAGCGCTCCGGTCGCCCATTATACTACATCCGTCACGATTCACTTGAGCGTCGTCAGAGGCCGACAGCGCCCACCCCGCTTGCGCCCCTGAAGCGTACCGCTCAAAGCAACAACACTTTTGTGCAAAATCTTACACACTCACTTACGTTGTGCTTTTTATGCAGTAAAATCCGCAATCAACTGGCGATGTGAATTAACTTCAATGATATTATCCCACACCACCATTTTGTGCACACGTTCTTCTGTCCGCACAAAATCCGCGAGAGTGGCTGGAACGGAAAGAAATCCGAATCAACCTGCATAGCTGGTACGCTTCCTTCCAGAATAAAAGCCATTTTAAAATGCGTCCTCAAATTCTCTCGGGGGAATCCGTTTAAGCCGTTTCAATCGTATGGAATGTCTCTTGATCTTCTTCGTTTTCTTGTGCTGCTGCTTGAGCCGCTTGATGCCTCCTTGCTGTTGAGTTTGCGATGTGAGTGCTTCCGAAATTTTTTCTCCTACTTTCCTGGACGTCTCATTAAGAACTGTTGTCGCTGCGTCGCGTAGGTGAAACCTTGCTGCTTCCATAGCTGCTCTAGCATGTGGCGCGGCAGCTTTAATAACCGGAGCCGCAAAATGCGCTAATTTACTGAGCATTGCGCGCAGAAAATTGGGCAGCATAAAACCACTCCCATTTTGCATTAAACTTCTGCGATACCGTGTCATGACGGCTCCATACCCGTGCTGACTACCGGCACCCGTGGCGGTCCCGGCAAATAAATCCAGATAGAACGATGGTGACGGTTAAAAGAGGATAACGGGCATTTTTTAGCGATAGTAATACTGAATGGGCCGAAAGTGCAGCTTTACCATTGATTTTCCAATCTGAAAAATTGCCGGTTCTCCCAGATCAGTTGCAATGTTGATGTCGATTGTGTCCAGCCGATCGTATAAAACAGGTAGATAATGTGGATCCTCGAACCTTTCCGAAACAATTTCGAAGCGCGGAACACTTGCTTTAATGGGGAAAGCGCGCAAAAGTTGCATAGTTTCATCACCCACAATATTGTAGTCACACTTGTTGCAGTACACAAAAATTGATTGGTTCCCAATGTGCATGTTCACAGGTTTATCCGCCGTCATTAGTACAGAAGTTTCCAAGAGCTGCAGCTCTGCCAATGCCTTTAACTGGTCGGACAGCGTGGTACTTGCGGAAGCAAAATTCGTTTTTTCCATCAAAAAATTTTCATACTGTTCGGAATGTGCTGCAGAAAATCGTCGTTCTTTGAATCCCAGTATACGGGATAGATGCAAAGATGAAGGAGGAAAATCCAGAAAAACCCGCACGCTAGGAAACTTTACTTTGAGCTTGGGTTCAGTTTTTA